CTGGTGTAGGAAGTTTCCCCACCCCAGCAGCCGTTTCTAAATTACCACACAGAGGCTTATATTGATTGTAAATGCGTGGCCGATAGCTTAGGCTTGCTACTAGCTAAATCTTACATTTAAATTAACACATAGTTCTTACTTATACTAATGGCTTGTTACCTCATTTTCTACACATCCTGCTTCCTTGGTGGCTCCTCTGATTCAGCCCTTCTTCTTACCAGAGTCCTCTATTTCTGGCTGTCCTGCCTATATTTCCTGCCTGGCTGCTGGCCTGTCAGTTTTTTATTAACCAATGAGAGTAATACATATTCACAGTGTACAGAAGGATTATTTCACAGAAAACTGCCCCGCTGGGTGTGGCTTGAGCATCTGAGACCTCAAAGCCCAACCCAGTACACACTTCCTCCAACAGGACCACGCCTCCTAATTGTGCCGGTCTCTATGGGCCTATGGGGGACATTTTTAGTCAAAGCCCACAGAGGTCAGACATGTCAGGTTCCCCTGGAGCTGGGAATACAGGCAGTTATAAACTGCCTGACATGGGTGCAGGGAACTGACTTTATGTCCTCAGGAAGAGCAGTATGTGCTCTATGCCACTGGGCCATCTCTCCCAGCCTGTGTTTCAATAAATCTTTCTTGTTTGTTTGGTTTTTAAGACTGGGTTTCTCCGTGTAGTTCTGGCTGTCCTGGAACCCTCTCTGTAGACCAGGCTGGCCTTGAACTCAGAGAGTGTTGGGATTAAAGGTATGTCCCATCACCAACAGAAGGCTGCTTCAATAAATCTTAGTTTATTGCTCTAGATGCTTTAAATTATGGTGTACACATGCGGGCAGGCGCTGGCAGGAGCAGAAGATGGGGTTGGAGTCCCAGAAGCTGGAGTTACAAGTGGTTGTAAAGCTGCCTGAAGTCTTACACAAGAACAATGTTCTGTAGCAGTATCCTGCTGGCTTGGTGACAGAATGATAGCAACTAGCCCTAACCCCTGCTCAGCCACATCTGGCCCAGCTCCAGAGAGCTAGCACCTAGCCCAATCCAGATACCTTTTGTCTCCCATGTGAACTTTGGGAGTTTCCCAAGAACACAAAGGCCTGTGCAGAACTTGGTTCAGGAAACCCGGAAAACTATGGTACCTGTTGAATGGAGATTTTGCACTGGTCATTGTAGTTTTGGATGCCTCATTCAAGTTGTTCTGGGCATATGGCAATCAACTGACTAAAGTGTAAATATAGAGAAAGATAAAAACAATGCTCTGGGCAGATGGAAATGCTTCAGTCCATGGAGGCTGGGGACTCCTGCGGCCACACAAAGGCTTAACTTCATTCTTAAGGTGTGTCTGAGTCTTCTTCCTCCCTTTTCTTCTCAGTGAACAGATCAGCCTCGAGGGGGCCTCATTGTGAGCCTGGGTCAGCGCTGCTTTGGACCCTTTGCACTATCCACCACCATATACTTCTGAAAAAATGAAGAACTTCAACTCATCCTTTTGGCGGCCTCCAGGTGTCCTGGCAAATCCTCATTTGAGTAAGCCAGCCTGGAACTCCCTCTCCCCCTTCTTGTTTGGCCCTTTATCAGCATCTGAGCAGCCTCTTCCCAGCACCCACCACCTCTGCCGGCAGTGGAACAGGTAGGGCATAGATTGATTGGAAAGTACCATCTACTCAGGAATCGTGAGGCATAATCCATCCAGTGTAATTAGTTTAGAGTTCTGAGGTCAGTTCAAAGGATAACCTCGTGCCCAGACTTTTAATTTTTATCGGATGTTGTCTTGGTCACTCTTCTATTGCTGTGAAGAGTCACATGACCAAGGCAACTCTTATAAAAGAAAGTATTTAATTGAGGACTTACAGTTTCAGAGGGTTAGTCCATTATCTTCATGATGGGGATCATGGTGGCAGGCAGGTAGGCATGATGTCGGAGAAGTAGATGATAATTGTAATCTGATCTGTAGCAGGCGGGAGACAGAGAGAGAGAGGGAGAGAGAGAGAGAGAAACACACACACACACACACACACACACACACACACACACACACACACACACACACACACTGGGCTTGTGAAACATTAAAGCCAGCCCCCAGCAACATACCTCTTCTCACAAAGCCACACACCTCCTAACCTTCCCTGACAGCTGGAGACTTATGCAAACATGTGAGCCTATGGGGCCAATCTCATTCAAACCACCAGATTTCTATTATGAACCAGGCATGATACACTGGAGAGAGTGAAAAACACTCAAGAATATCTGATGTGGGATGTCCTCTGTACACTGCAAATATGTGTTGCTTTTATTGGTTGATGAATAAGGCTGCTCTGCCTATGGCAGAGCAGACTATAGCTAAGTAGGAAAGCCAAACTGAACACAGGGATAAAGAAGACAGGGTTGAGGAAGACACCAGCAGCCACTGGAGGAGTAAGATGCCAGAGCATTACTGGTAAGCTGTGGGCCATATGGCGATATACAGATTAATAGAAATGGGTTAATTTATATGTAAGAACTAGCTAGTAATAAGCCTGAGTCATTGGCCAACCAATTATAATTAATATTAAGACTGAGTGATTATTCATAAGTGGCTGTGGGACTGAATGGGACACAGAAAAGCTTCCAGCTACAAATCTCTCCTGTCATGGAGTTTTTATAGTCCACTAGGGGAGTCAGATAAGATAGACAATGGAAATATCCTGCAACTTCATGCAGCAAGTACTATGAAAAAATGCTTGTCTGTAGCAGATGCTGTGTTAGCCCCATCCATGTCCCGTCAGCATGTGATGTTCTCATCCAAGCAGGCCTTACCTGAGCACATTCTGCAGCTACTGGAGCCTGCTCTATTTGGGAGAAGGGCAGGCTGGGTCTGAGTGGAGGATTTCTCACAGATAACCCTTCAGTCAATAGCTGATGTGAGTTATGCAGTAGTGTGTAGATTCCTTGTCTCTCAAGCAGGCAGCTGAGGTCCCCAGAGCGTTAGGTGTTCTGAGCTCTAGTTTTCTTCAGAAGTAACTTTCTCAGAGCCTCCTCTCTTGCTCACATCACCACTTTTCCAGATCACCTTCCAAGCATGTCATTTGTACCTGTTAGATGCTCAGCCAGGGGAAAGAAAAGGAGAAAGAGTAGGTGTGGAAGGGTTGAGCTGGAAACCTACCCACAGTCATCTGGTTGGGGCACATCTGTTGGTGGGTGTGGTTTTCTTTTTACTGTGTATGGGCATTTTGTCTGCATATATATCTGTACACTTGGTACCTAGTGCCACTAGAAGCCAGAAGAGGTTGATGGATTCCCTAGAAATGACTCACAGATGGTTGTGAGCTGCCATGAGCCATCTCGCCAGCCTCTGTTGTGGTTGGTTTTAAATGCCACAACCAAGAATCACATGATCAGAAAGCTTCAGTGGAGAGACTGTTTCAGTGGGTTGTCCTGTGAATATGCCTGTGGGTGATTACCTTGACTGCCAACTGATGTGGAGCAGGCAGCCCTGTGTGTGTGTGTGTGTGTGTGTGTGTGTGTGTTTCCCAGCTGGGCCCTGGACTGTGTAAGTGTGAAGAAAGCCAGTGAGCAGGCTCTCCGGAGATTTCAGATCCCACCAAGTTGACAATTTTGAAGGTTCTGTATCACAGTGGTGTGGGTATCGGAAGTTTGCATCTGGTTCCCAGTCCCTTCCCCACTCTGCGGTATGCTGCGAGCTGTCTGCTCTCTGTCACACGCTCCTTCTGCCATGTTTAACCTCAGCAGGATCCAGAAACAGAGCCAAGTAGCAGTGGACGTTGACACCTCTGAAATGTTGAGTCAATAGATATTTCCTCCCCAGGCTGTCTCTGTCAGGTGTTTGTTCACAATGAACAGAGTGTGACAAGCACGTGTCCCCACATTCCATAGGTGACTTCCCTTTCAGCTCCTTTCCTCAGCCTTTAGCTGCCACTAAGAGTCACTTTAAATTAGCTACATTTTTTTTCCTGATTATAAGTCATCTTTCTCTCTCTTTCTCTCTTCCCTATGAAAGTTTTAAGTGCAAGCCAGGCTTGATGGTCACAGCTATGATCCTAGCAGTTGGAAGTCTGAAGGGGGAGGACATGACTTTAAGGCCTCTGAATGCTGGGATTACAGGTGTGTGACGCCTTACATTTTAATTTTTTGTGCGTATGAGTACATATGGTGCATGTCCTATTTGTGTGGGTGTGTGCACTTAAATGCCGATGTATTTGTGCTTAGACCAGAGGTTGGAGTTGTCAGCTGTCTCCATCACTCTCCACCTTATTTTTTGAGACAGGGTCTTTCCCTGAATATGGGAGGTCATTGACTTCTAGACTGGCCGGCCGATGAGCCCTAGGGAATCTGCCTGTGGCTGTTCTCAGTGTTGGGGTTACAGGCAGGTGTTACCATGCCCAGCTTTTACATGAGTTTTGGGAATCTCAACTGAGGTCCTCATACTTGTACAGCAGATATAACTCACTGAGATATCTTTTCAGCCTCAGTGTATGTGTATGTATTTGTGTGTGATTATCTTAGAAACAAAGTATATAGAATATTATTTATTTTTATTCAGCAGGCAAACTTCTATTTCCATCTGGCTATTGGAAAATATAACTAGGAACAAAAGATAATGTGTCAAAAAAATGAAGAAAGCTGGGCACACAGCAGTGTGTGTCCACAGTTCTGATACTTGGGGGGGGGGGGCTGAGGTAGGTACATCACTTGAATCAGTGAGGCCAAGATCAGCTTGAACAACACATTGATAATGTGTTTCAAGAAAACTGAACAATGTCCATGAGATGTCACTAAGCCTGATGACCTGAGTTTGATCCCTGATACCCACATGGTGGATGGAGAGAACTGACCCCAACAAGTTGTCATCTGACTTTCATACATACACAGTGAAACACACCAGCATTCACACACACACATACACACACACCCCAAATAAATCAATAGATATAGACAAAACAAATACAAAAGTAAGAAAACCCCAAAGAGCAAAGAAACCACTGCTTTATTGTTCCATGTTTTTTGGCCAAGAGAAAGTGTGAGCACAGTCTGCCACTAACACAAGTGATGTAGTCGAGTTCCTTGCATTTGGGGAAATTGCAGGGCTCAGCACAGGCCAAGGGCAATGGGTGAGCCTCACCCTGGGAAAACTACCTTCCTGACCATGATGTCTCCTCCACCATGGGAGTATGAGAAACCACTGTTTTAAAGAACAAAGACATAGAATAAAATGCATACCTAACAAGATAGGAATGAGTAAATATCTCACAATAATATTCAGGCATTCATTCAGTGCTTAATGGCAAGCCCCTTTATCCACTGAGCCACGTTGCTGGACCAACTCTTGGCTATTTTAAAAAGAGATTTATTTAGTCGCTTGAATGTGTGCGGGTGTTTTATCTGCATGCCTGTCAGTGCCAGTGGAGGCCAGAAGCGGGTGTTGGGTCTCCTGGGACAAATTTGAGCTTCCATGTGGGAACCAGTCGTGCAAATGTGGGTCCCTTATCAGAGGAGCCTGCACTAAACGCTGAGCCATCTACCTAGCTTATTTTTCATAATGTTTCAGCTATCCCAGGGGGAAATGAGTGTCAATTGGTGCCCAGTGGGTGGTGACTTTAATCGTTTGGGCCAGGAAACAGGATTGCAATGAAGAGCAGGCTGCACTGTCCCAGAGGAAGGCTAAGCAGGGCTGGGTGCTCACAGAGCCTCCACCCTCTTTCTCTGAATCGCTCTTGCCTCTCACTTCTCTATTTTCACCCCTCCTGGCCTTGGTGGCTTCTTCAATATCTGTCTGTGGTGGCTGCAACCCCACAGTCCACACATCTTCCAGGGGCTTGTTTCTTTCAGTCATGACTTTTGAAGTTCTTCTGGTAACAGGTATGTCAAGGTCTTGGGGGTCTTGGGTGGGGAAGAGGTGTTGGGGGGTCTTCAGGATGGGGAAGAGGGGCTAGGGAGTCTTCAGGATGGGAAGGAGGGGTTAGGGGTATTCAGGGTGGAAGGGGCAGTAGGGAGCATCTCTAGGGTGGGGAGGAGGGGATTTTTGGGGTACATGAGTGGAGAGAAAGGGCAGAGAATAGGAAGTAGTAGGTGGGGAGAGGCAAAGGGCTTTAGGGATGTGGATTCTGGGGACTGAACTCAGGCACTCAGTGTTTAACGGTAAGCCCTTTTATCCACTGAAGCACCTTGCTGGACCAACTCCTCCTCCTCCTCTTCTTCTTGAGATAGGGTTTCTCTGTATTGCTTTGGAAGCTGTCTGGAGACCAGGCTGGCCTCGAACTCACAAAGATTCGCCCACCTCTGCCTCCTGAGTGCTGGTATCAAAAGCGTGCACCTCCAACGCCCAGCTGACTGTTTCTTTTAAAAAGAGATATATTTATTTTATGTGTGTGGGTGTTTTATCTGCACGCATGTCTATGTACCATGTGTGTACAGTGCCAATGGAGGTCAGAAGGAGGCATCAGGAGGGGAGGAGGGCAGAAAATAGGAAGGAGTTAGGTGGGGAGAGGCAAAGGGCTGAGTCAGGGAGTTGTGTGTGAAGGACTAAGTCCATTGGCTTTGCAAGGGTGTTTGTCATAGACAGGCTCCGGAGGCCCAGAGAGACAAAGGCCCAGCAGCGGGGAACACAGCACTCTACTTCCAGAGTATTTTCTCTTGTGTACCACTCACATTTTCTATGTAGCCTCAAGGTCTAGTTAACAAGGACCTAGTGCGAATGTTTGCTGAATGATGGCAGAGTCAAACAGTGGTTTGAGTTCATTTCCTTTTGTGTCTGTTGTGCAGGGAGTAAGTCAAGAAGGGAAGGAACTGCGTGAGAATTGCAGAGGAAGGAAAATTTGTCATCAAGGCCTTTGATTGTTGTGAAAATCATTGTGGTTGTGACAGTGGGGGAAGAGGCCACTGTGGGCTTAGTGAGGGACTGGTCTGCCCAGTGATCTTATAGACCCTTGAGCTATGAGTCAGCACACTTGGCCTATGGGTTAATGTAGCTATTACCTGTTTTGAAGATGATCATTTATTATCCATTGGTGACAGAGGACACTAATTTACTCACAGTCAAGTGAAATGCCACTCCTCAAGAATCTCATCCATCTCATGAGTAAACCTGTATCACAAAAATGGTGATGACTGATTACAGTTTGAATTTGCTTGCTAAAAAGTTGGTGGGAATGAGGCCTGGGGCTTGCCTGCATATATAAAACTTAGATTTGATCCCTGACACACAGTCACCTGGGCAGGGTGGTGCACACCTGTAGTTCTAGCAGTGGGAGGTGGAGGCAGGAGGATTAGGGGTTCAAGATCATCTTCAGCTATATAAGGAGTTCTGGGCCAGCCTAGGCTGTGTGAGACCCTGTCCTGAAAAGCTTTCCCTCTGTGGTCTTACCATGTAGCCCTGACTGGTCTGGAACTCACTACAGAGACTAGGCTGGGCTCAAACTTGAGGCACTGCTTTTGCCTCTGCCTCCCTGGTTCTGGGTTCTGCTTGACTCTCTGGTCCTCTATAGAAAAAAAAAATGGACTGCAGTGTGGTGGCCCGGCCCCACACCCCGAACATTTGGGAGATGGAGTGGAGGCAGGAGGATGGGGAGGTCTCGGTCACCCAGAGTTAAACTGACACTGTAGTGTTCTAGGCTGTCCAACACTGTCTCAAAAACCAGAGTCAAGTGCCATAACATGTGGACCCCTGCCCCGGCTGTCCGGGTTTCCGTGAATGCTGTCAGGAAAGGTCACGGTGGGAAGGTGTCCTGCTCTCTTGCCCATGTTGGTTCCTTTGCTTTGACTCTTCCTGTTACCCTTCTAGCCCTAGCCTTATGCCATGGATTCAATATGGACACCGAGAATCCCATAACCTTCCAAGAGGATGCAAGAGGCTTCGGGCAGAGCGTGGTCCAGCTTGGTGAATCCCGGTAAAGGCCTCAGGGGGAGTCCCTCCCTGTCTCAGTGCATCTTTAAAAGCTAGAAAAACAAGTTTCCTTATTGAGTTTTCTTCCTTCCCTTCTTCTCTCCTTCCCTCCCCTCCTCCCCCTTTCTCTCTCTCTCCCCTTTGCTAGGAATGGAATCCAAGGCTTGCTGATACCCTACCACTGAGCTACACCCCTCTGCCCTCTTGACTGATTTTTTTTTTTTGAATCTGTAGTGAGGTTTTAGGGTTCTAAATTCACAAGACCCAAGGAAGTTGAGAGCAAAAAGTCATTTTTACTCCCTGTACTTCCTTTCCTAGAAGGGGTCATGACGATTGGCTCCTTGTGGTTCTTCAGGGGAGATTTTTGTCTGTCTTTCTAGCTACCTCTCAACTGCTGCTCAGTTCCCCACCCTCAGTCTGTAGCATGAGTTATGTTCAAGTTATGGGCCTACTTGAACATACATGGTAATCACACGTGTGGTTATTTCCATAAATATAGCTGTGTGTGTGTGTGTGTGTGTGTGTGTGTGTTTGTGTGCCACAGCACACTTGTGCCAGAGTCAGAATTGCTTGTGGGGGTTGGTTTCTCCATGTGGGTCCTAGGGATGAACTTTGCTCATAGGATTTCCGGAAAGTGACTTTACACACCGAACCATCTCTCTGCTATGACAATAAATCTTACTGAACACAATCCTGATTGTTACTCACAGAATAGAGAAATGACAAGGGGATATAGTTCACAAAGCCTAAAACATTTACCTTTAGAGAAATATTTACTGGGAGTAATTATGGAAATAACGTTTTCGGAGTGAGAAGTGTTGGTGCTTGCTGTTGCAGAGGCTGAGTTCATATGAGCAACAGCACTGTCGTACTCAGAAAACAGTTTTCTATTTCCTTTAGTTCTTGCCATCTTTCCACTTCCTGTTCTATATGATCCCCAAGCCTGAGAGGAAGTATAGATGTCTCATTTGGAGCTGAGCACCCCCAGTCTCTTATTCTCTGTGTATGGACCAGCTGTGAGTCCTTGTGTTAATCTCCATCTACTTAAAAGGAAGCATCTCTGATGAGGATTGAGAGATGCACTAGTCTGTGTGTGTAATGTTAGAACTTAGAAAGAAGTTTAATTCTAGTAGACTAGTAGTAGTAGGTTCTCCCCTTGGGCCTATGACCTACCTAGCTACAGGAATATTGACCCAGTTAACAGTACTAGACATAAATTTCATCTTGTAGACCAGACCACTAATGCAAGTAGAAAGTGGTGGCTACTCTCTGTCTCAGGTTTCTATTGCTCTGATAAAACACCATTGCCGAAAGCAAGGGTTTATTTGGCTTACAAACCCGGTCACAGTCCACTGAGGGAAGGCGAGGCTGGAGTCCGCAGACAGGAACTTAAGGCGGGAACTGAGGAGGGGCCCTCAGGAACATTGCTATCTGCTTGCTTAGCCTGCTTTCTTATGCATCCCGGAGCCACCTGCCCAGGGTGTCTCTTCATAGGACTCACACCAGCCTCTAGTCAAGAAAATGCCCTTATAGACCAATTTGATGGGGGCAACTCCTTAGTTGAGATCACCCTTTCCCACATAGGTCTGGGTTGGCAAAAAGTAACAAGCACACCCCCATAATATTCATGCCACCCTTACACTAGCAGCACTTGGCTATCTTGCCAGGCCAGTCCTTATTGTAGCCAAAAGGTTCACAGCCATGTAAAGCTTTTGATTACTTTTCTCCCCTGGTAATATGTATAGAGCTCTCCAACACCAGTAGGGATGTTGGTATCGCTTGATTTCCCCATATCCTATGACTCAAGTATACATTGTCTTAAGCAATAAGTTATTACTATCAAATTCTGGAGGGTAACCAAGAGCAGTGGCAATAGCCTGTAATGTTTAGGGAGGAAGTCTGTGGGATCTCACTGACCAACAACTGGAGAAGAGGCACTTTGTATCTGGGATTTTTATTTGATAGCTCATGGTATCTGGGAAAGAAAATTCCCCTCTCATTATAGAGTAACTCCATATAAATTGTGTGTGTGTGTGTGTGTGTGTGTGTGTGTGTATACACATACATGTGATGTGCATATTTTAGGAAGTTTCTATAGTAGTTGGTTTTCATACTGCTATTTAAAAAGGTTTTATTGCTGGTTAATTTGTCTCAGCCCCCCCTGCTCCATCACCCTCCTTTCCCGCCTCATATTGCCTTGGCTCTGTCTTCTCCCTTGAACACCCCGCCCCATGACCATTATTATTTTCCTGACTTCTATGGGTACTCCAGGTTAACACACATATACAAAGATTCAAAGACAGCACCCACATATAAGCGAGAATATGTGGCGTTTGTCTTTTTGGGTCAGGGTGACCTCACTCAGAAGGATTATTTCTAGCTCCATCCATCCCCTGAAAACTTCATTTTTCGTCATAGCACACTGTGTGTTCATAGTGCATTATGTATATGTGCCACATTTTCATTGCCCGTTCGTTTGTTGAGGGACACCTCGGCTGTTTGGGCTTCCTGTCTGTCGGGAATATAGCAGCAATGAACATGGACGAGCAGTGCCTCTGTGGAAGGAAGTAGAGCCGTTCGATCTGTGCCCAGACGTGGAAGGTCTATGTTTATCTTTTTGAGGAGCCTTGACAATAATTTCCATAGTGACTGTATCAGTTCCTACCCCCACCCACAGTGATTTCCTCATGTCCGTACTTATGTGATTTTTAAAAAAGTCTTAGTCATTCTGACTGGGGTAAGATGAAATCTCAAAGCAGTTTTAATTTGCATTCCCCTGGTGGATAGGGATGAAGAACATTAAAATATTATTTTTCTTAAAAAAAGATTATTTTAAAAGAAAATTTTAACTGTAAGAGTTTCTGCAGAGGCCAGAAGAGGGCGGCGGCAGATCACCTGGAACTGGGCTCTTTGATAGCTCGTGATGCTTGGGAGAGGAATTGCCTCCCTCATTATAGGATAATGCTTTATAAATTTCATACATAAATTAAATGTGTTATGAGTATATGCATGTGAGTTGCATACACACAAAAATATATATTATACATATGTTATATATAATATATATCTAATGTGTGTGTGTGTATCTGTACACATACATACGACATACATATTTTAGGAAGTGTCCAGTAGTTGGTTTCTGTACTTCCATTCTTCTTTTGTTTTGTTTTACTAGACAGGTTTCTCTGCCTTGCTGGGCTGTCCTGGAACTCTTTCTGTGGATCAGGCTGGCCTTGAACTCTGAGATCTCTTTTGCTCCTGCCTCTTGAGTGTGGGACTAAAGGCATGTGCCGCCAGTGCTTTTTTTTCTTCTAAAGGTTTGTATTGTTAGTTATTCCTTCTCATACTTACTCCTTTCTTAGCCCTTCCTGATCCATTACCCCCTACCATGTGGGTACTGGGAATTGAACCCAGGTCTTCTGGAAGAGCAGCTAGTTCTCTTACCTGCTGACCCATCTCTCTACTCCCTTATTTTTTTTTTTTTAAGATGACTATTATTATTTCCAGGGAGATCTGGTGCCTCTGGCCTCCAAGAACACTAAACTCATATGCATATAAACCCACATAGAGGTACAAACACACATATAATTAAAAAAACAATCGTATCTTGGTGTGGTGGTACACACCTTTAGTCCCAGTACTTAGGAGGCAGAGGCAGGTGGATCTGTGTGAGTTTGAGGCCAGCCTGGTCTACAGAGTGAGTTCCAGGACAGCTAGACTGACATAGTGAAACCTGTCTCAAAAAAAAATACCAGGGAGGGAAGGAGAGAGAGAGAGAGAGAGAGAGAGAGAGAGAGAGAGAGAGAGAGAGAGAGAGAGAGCAAGCACACCTAAAGCAAAAGAGCGTGACAGAGCCTGTCATGACAGGATGATGGGGAGGCCCATAGGAAAGCTGTGAGGAATCCCAGGAACCAAAGGAAAATGCTTGACTTTTATATCTTTTCAGGAGACTACAGGACATTCTGCACTACGTGATTTACTGGGGGTGGTGTATGTGATGAGCAGAATGGGGTGCCAGGCACTGGGTAGGATGTGAATTAGTGGTAAGATCACAGGCACAGAAGGCTTCTCCTTCTGTCCCAGGGATGTGGCCTGATTTATTTAGGCTGTGAGATCTGGCGTCTTAGATTGATCAGATACAGGCCTATGATCTAACGGTATATACATGCACGGTGTGTGTGTGTGATGACACATATGTGGCAGTCAGAGGACAACCTTTGGAAGTCAGTTCTTTCGTTTCATTATGGGTCCCAGGGGTAGAACTCAGGCCACCATGCTTGAGTGGCAAGCTCCTTTACCCATTGGAGCCATCTCACCCCCTGGCTTTCTCCTTGAAGAGAGGGATTTCTGCTGTGTGACTTTTTCTGGAGAGATGTGAACAAATACATGTTCACAGCAGATAGGGCATCAACAACAGACTAAAGAAAGTCCATCCAGGTCTATCTCTGTGAGCCAATGACTCTACCTGGGGTCGCTTCCATAGCATGGATAAGGGTTACCCACAGAGGCATGAGCAACTTACAGAAGAATCCCTCTCCCAGCCAACCATCGACAGCCTTGTGAGCCCTCCCCGCCCCTTCCCTCCAATGGAACATCGTGGGTCTTGGATCAGTCTCCTTCGGGTCTCTTCTGGGTAGTAAGAACTGGGAGTTCGAGGTGGCCGTGGCCGTGCTGGGCCCAGAGCACTTGTTCCAAAGCAGTTTCCTTTCCTTTGACACTTTTTTTCCTATCTTACCCAATTTTCTAGTCTTCCCCTTCCTGGTTAGAAACTGACAGAGCACAGGAAGGCAACCTTGGGTGTAAGTTACCATTCTTCCCCTCCCAGCTTCTCAGTCATCTTCTGATTTGCTTGTACTTGTTGGTCATAGTTGTACAATTATTTAAATGGCTATGTGGTTGAAACCAACTTTTGTTATTGTTTGAGAATTTCTCATGTGTATGTAATGTGTTTTGAGCAAACCTCCCTCTCCACTCCTGCCTCCCCATTCTCCCCCCATCACCCCTCCCCTTTCCATTCTAACTTTATTTGCTCTTTCTTTAAACCAATTTTTAAAAATTCTCTCAGCATTTTGTGTCATTTAAATTTCTTTTCATCGCTATATTTTCTTCATGTATGGGAGTTCAGGAAGCTTACTGCCCTCTGAAGGGTAGGACTGCTTCTACATATATAGGGTGTTTTTTTTTAATCACCCCCTTTCTACAGAGTGGTTGTTGCAGCCCCCCAGGAGTCCAAGGGTGCTAACCAAACAGGTGTCCTCTACCAGTGTGACTACAGCACAAGCAGGTGTGAGCCCATTTCCCTGAAAGGTGAGTTTCAGCTCTCCCTCTGCCTCATGATGGGAGTATTCCCGTGAACACAGCTGCTTCGTCAGGCATTCCTGTATCCTGTGCATCTCTGGTGGGGCAGCCTTTCCCTTGTCCATGGACCCCTCAGGCAATCCCACTATGCTCCTTTTTCATAGTCTATTCTGTGTCTCCCAGGCTGAAGGGCCTCTTTGCAGCTCTTTTGCTAAATTAAGTAATATTTAAATATTTTGTATGTGTGTGGTGCATGCGCACATGCCTGCAGGGGCATGGGCTCTGTGTGCCGCCTGCGGAGGCCACAGTCAACATCAGGTGTTGCACTCCACTCTGTTCATTTTGAGCCAAGAATTCATTGGTTTGCCCAAGTTGTCTGGGCAATGAATTGCTCTTCCTTTTTTTTTTTTTTTTTTAATTTTTATGCTATGTGCATGAGTATTTACCTCCATGTATGTATATGTATGTCTAGTGTTGGGGGGGGTCACAAGAGAGTGTCAGAACCCCTGGAACCATGGTTACAGACAGTTGTGAGCTGCTATGTAGGTGCTGAGTACCAAACCCAGAATCTAGAAGAGCAGACAGTGCCCTTAACTGTTGAGCCATCTGGCCAATGAATTTCGAGGCTGCTTCTGCCTCTGCCCCTCTAGCACTGGGGTTATGGATGAGTGTGACCTCACCCACTATATTACATGGGTTCTGGGGACCTAAACTCAGGGCCTCAAGCTTTCATGGTAGTGACTTTACTGACTGAACCATCTCTCCTGTTTCCAGGTAGACATAATTAGTATATGTGATATTGCATGAAAGAATTAGCTCTCCCTTTCCCTGTTCCTCTCTTCCTCTGCCCCCCACCTCTAACCTCTCTGCAAGGTCTCTTGCACCCAAGCTGGCCACAAACTTGCTACGTAATTGTCATTGCCCTTAACCTGACCTCCTGTGTCACCCTCAAGTGCTGACATCACCGCACATGCCCTTATGATTTGTGCATGATAGGCCACAGTCTACTAACAGGGCCACACCCCGTTCCTGAAATTGGGTTTCATTGTGACTGTTTCTTTTATATCCTTTATTTTTTATTTTTGAGGCCAGTTCTCACTATGTAGGCCTAAAACTTGCTATGTAAACTAGGTTGGCCTTAAATGTACAGGATCTTCCCGCCTCTGCCTCCCAGCTCCTGGGATTAAAGGTGTTTCTTAGCATGCCTGGCTGACATTTTTATACATGTATATAGTCCCTCACACTTTAAGTCTCATCTTAATTCTGTCTGCTTCTATGCAAATGAAGTGATTTCATTCTTCTTAGTGGCTGGGTAAGACTCCACTGTGTAGACTGCATTTTCTTTATCCAGTCATCTATTGACTGACTTCTCGGATTGGCTATGGTGAGTAAGACAGTGAACGCAGGGATGTGCATCTGTCATGTCCTTGTCTCAATGTTTCACTGTAGCGGGCATTTTCCTCTGCCAGGAGCTCACAAATAATGACATGGAAACTTATTCTTAATTATGAGAACTTGCCAATAGGTTAGGCTTGTTCCTAACTAGCTCTCACAACGAATTAACCTATTTATATTAATTTATGTTCTGCCATGGAATATTCTTACTCTCTTCCACCGTAGACTTCCCGTTTCTTCTCAGTGTCTTTCTGGCGACTCCACCTTCCTTCTTCCCAGAGTTCTCTCTGCCCGGAAGTCCCACCTATACCTCCTGCCTAGCTATTGGCTGTTCAGCTTTCTATTACACCAATCACAGCAACACATCTTCACACAGTGTACAAACATCCCGCGACATTTCACACGTCCTCTTAGCCCTGAGGACCACTGTGTATGTGTCTTGCCTTTTCAGTGCCCCCAGAGGCTGTGAACATGTCCTTGGGTCTCTCCCTGGCTGCTACAACAGACCGGTCCCAGCTGCTGGTGAGTTGCTGGGGGTCAGAACAAGGTTTTGAGGGGAGAAGTGGGAGGCCTGGGAATGCTGGGGTGCAGGTATTGTGGAAGGCAGAGGTGTGTGACGGGGGGGGGCAGGAGGCAGGGGCAGCCCCTTTACTGACACTCGGCTCCTCAGGCCTGCGGCCCCACTGTGCACCAAAACTGCAAGGAGAACACGTATGTGAAAGGACTGTGCTTCCTGTTTGGCTCCAACCTGTTGAGGCAGCCCCAGCAGTTCCCAGAGGCTCTCAGAGGTAGGTCATTTTTGGAAGGGACTTGAAGAGGGGAGGGAGGCAAGGCCGAGGATTGTTTTCAGACCATTTTCTATTCCTTTGAAGTAAGTTTAACTCCAGCTCAGCTAGGTGTAGTGGCCTATACATGTGATCCTAACACTTGGGAGAGAAGGAATGAGGGTCAGATGTTCAAAGTCGTCTTCAGCTACATAGTCAGTTTTGAGGCTAGCCTGGCCTACATGAGACTGTCTTAAACGACAAAACAAAGCTAGCAGTGTGACCCACACTGAAGAGGAGGGGGCAGTCTTAGTCAGTGTTCTATTACTGTAAAGAGACATTGTGACCAAGGCAATCTTTTCTTTTCTTCAGGACAGGGTTTCTCCGTGTAGCTTTGGACCCTTTCCTGGAACTAGCTTTGTAGACCAAGCTGGTCTTGAACTCACAGAATCTGCCTGCCTCTGCCTCCTGAGTGCTGGGATTAAAGGCATGCGCCAACACTGCCCAGCTTACCAAGGCAACTCTTATAAGCAAAGCATTTAATTGGGGTGGCTCACTTACAGTTTCAGAGGTTCAGGCCATTGTCATCATGACAGGGTGCATGGTGGCACGGAGACAGATGTGATGCTGGAGAAGTCACTGAGAACTACATCTTGATTCGATAGCTGAGAGAGAGAGACACTGGGCCAGGCTTGGCCCATCCCCAGTGACACACTTCCTCCAATAAGGCCACGCCTCCTAATCCTTTCAAATAATGCCAGTCCCTGGTGATCAAGCATTCAAATCTATGAGCCTATGGGGGCCATTCTTATTCAAACCACCATAGGGACTATTAAAGTATATTATTGTCAGAGGGGGGCATGGGTCGCTGCCTAATAAGGGGGCCTGTTCCCTAGGCATGTGTTGATTGAGAAAGAGAGGGGTTGAATAATCATTTCAAGCTGCTTTACCACAGTGCCTGGCGGCCTCAGACTGATTGCAAACAAGTCAGTCACTTTTTTTTTTTTTTGGAGACAGGGTCTCTCTATATAGCTCTGGCTGTCCTGGAACTCACTCTGTAGACCAGGTTATTCTCAAACTCACAGAGATCCACCTGCCTCTGCCTCCCAAGTGCTAGGATTAAAGGTGTGCACCCATGCCTATCCCTTCTTTAAAAAAGAAAACATTTGTTTTACTTGTGTGTGTGTGTGTGTGTGTGTGTGTGTGTGTGTGTGCGTGCGTGTACATACTTACATGGTTGCATGGATGTCCATGGAGTCCAGAAGAGGGGATTAGAAACCCTGAAGCTGGAGTTTTATGTGGTGGTGAGCATCCCAGTGTGGATGCTGGGAAGAAATCCAGGTTTTCTGAAAGAGCAGCAAGTTTTCTCAGCTGTCTCTCTGGCTCCTGTTTGTTTGGTTTTAGTTTTTGGTCTTTCTTTAGTCCCCATTTGCTTAAGAAGCGTCCTAACGTTTCTTTTGTCCCCTGGAGTCTCTTGGATGTTTGCTCCACTTGCTCCACAGTATTCCTTCAGGTGTTCTCTCTAGAGATAGCTTTAGCTTTTTTAAAAATTTGATTAATTGTGCTGAGTTTTTCTTTCTTCTTCAATTATGACAGTTTTGCTGGGCATATTAGCCTGGGTTGGCAGCTATAGTTTTTGAGAACATCCAGTGCATTACTCCAAACCCCTCTGGATTTTAGAAAATCAGTTGTTCTTTTGATGGGTCTGCCTTTGCATGCACTCAGTCTTTCTTGCAGTGTTTCAATGCACTTCCTTTGTTCTGTATATTTAATGTTTTTGACTATAACATATTCAATACACTCCCTTTGTTTATTCTGTATAATAACGTTTTTGACTATAATTCTGGGAGTTTCCTTAATGACCTGTCTGTTTGATGTTCTGAATGCCTCTTGCATGTGAGTAGATCTCTCCCTAGTTTTGGGAACTTTTCTTCTATGACTTTATTAAAACCATATTTCTATGCCTTTGAAATAGAATTTTTATCCTTCTATGTTCATGATTGTAGATTTGGCCTCTTCATGATGTCTTAAGTATTTCATTTGTCATAGTTTTTAAAACATGTATCATTGTTTTTGATTGAATGATCCAGTTATACCACTTTTTCTTTTTTTTATATTAATTAATTTTTTTATTTTTATTTTACATATTGACCCCAGTTCCCTCCCCTCCCTCCCTCCCTTTACCACTTTTTCTTTAGCCTCAATACTTTGTAAAATATAATCCATTACACTGGTGAGGCTTTTTACTGAGGTTTTTTTTTTTTTTTTTTTTTTTAAAGTTTTTATTTCCTCATCATTTGTTTTTATTTAGCATTTTACGAATTCTATTTCTATGTCTAGAATTTAATTTTTTAAATTTCATTCAACTATTTGTGTTCTCTTTGAAGTTATTTAGAAGTTTATTCATGCTGTCTTTGAAATCCATAAACATATTTGTGGTCATTTTCCAAATTCTTTGTTTACAATTTTATCAAAGTGACTCTCATTTGAGGCCATCACTATTTAGTGTAGCAGGCTTTTTCTTTTAGGCCACCAACCAGCTCCCAAATATCGACACGAAGACTTCTTATTAATTATGAATGCTCAGCCTCATCGTATGCTCGTCCCATTAGCTCTTAACCTGATCCCTTCTGTGCTCCTCAAGCAGATAATCCTCTGGCTGCCCCAGGGTTTCAGCCATTTCTTCTAGTGAGATTCTAATTTTTTGGTATCTATTCTTTTTTTTTATTTTTAATTTTTAATTTTTTTCTTATTTACATGTCGATCCCAGTTCCCTCTTCCTCCTTCACTCTCTCCCTCCCGTCCATGCCCCCTGACCACTCCCCCCCCCTCCCCCGCCCACTCCACAGGGAGGGTGATGCCTTCCAGGAAGGATCAACAAAATCTGTCAAGTCACTTCTTTCAAAAGTCTGACAGCCAAAGAGTGGGATACAGTGTATTTTTGGCTAGCAGGCCAGCTACACTGGGGTTTCATGTGGCCTTTGACCTGAAGGGCCTGGGTCCATGTGGTACATGGGCACTGGGTGCCAAGTGTGGGTTATTGATGACGGCAGCCGGCATCTGCAGGGTGTGCAAGGGCATGGGGAGGCAGAGTTGCCATGACCTCTGACCTCAAGAGTTGGAGTCCTCATGGTGTGTGGGCACTGGATGCTGAGTATAGGGTTTTGCACAGTTCATGACCTCGGAAGCAGATGCACAGATCCACTCCATGGATCCAGTCCTTAGTGTAGGAATTCACAGGACCCAAGGTTTGCAGTGTCGGTGGGGAGTGAGGTGCTGGGTACCTGGGGTGGGTGTTTGTGGCTTCTGACTTCAGAAGCCAGCATGCATGAGTGTCCTGGCAGTTGCTTTTGAGCAGGGGATCCCTTCGGTGGCAGTCTCTGTTTAGCCTTTCAGTGAATTTTCATTTTACAAGTTGCAGTCTTTGATGGGTTGCATCTTGCCTTCTGGACAACCTTCCAATTGTTCCAGTGCAAACCAAGAGGGTTTTCTTTCCTGGTGCTTATCCCTTTAAAGAATTAGGCACCCATCTCTGTTCTGTCTGTCTCTGGTGTGTGATGTATGTGTGTAGTGTGTGTGTGTAAACTTGTCCTCCTATCATGTGAGTTCCAGGGACCTAAGTCACGTCTTTATGCTTGGCAGCAAGTGCCTTTCCCTGCTGCTATCTATCTCACTATTCATTGTGTTTTCTCTTTATAGTTATAGTTGCTTTCCAAGCATTCTCCTTTCGGCCATTTCAAATGTATCCCTGCTTCTCCCTGCTCCCTATCCACCACAGGTTCATGGCTGTATCACCATGAAAATGCACTTTGTCCAACTTAGTCTTCATAACACTGGTAAAAGTCTCCCGAGACCCAATGTGGTCTCCTAACTGTGACTTCCTGTAAGATAAAAAAAGAAAATTATTACATACATCCAACATTCAGTGTCTCAGAATATGCATTACCTTTCCAAAATGAAGGAATGAGGGCATAGTGAACAAATACTGGATCAAAGCAAGACTGAACTCCGTAAGGGCAAACACCAAATCCTGCAGCTGCATGTCAATATCAAAGAGCTTAGATGATCTGCCCCTCAGGCTTTGCTGCTTGCTGAATATATCTCTTAGCCTGGTTCCATTCCCTGTCTGCAGCTTTTCTTGGCAGATGTCTCATGGCCTGGGCATTTCAACATCCGGGGGCTCCACGCAGCCTAGGCTTCACTTTTGTAATGTTATAGAATGGCTTCTCAGGGTTCTTCTGCAGGGACTCCTCTCCCACACGCTGCTGGCCTCGGCAGCTCTCTTACCCATCAGATGTAGAATCCATGACTCCTTTCCTTTACTCTTGCATCCTTCATACCTCTAATGCCATGTAGGCCCCTCTTCCAGTACCCCTAACCCTAACCCTTTCTATCCTTCCTTCCTTCCTCTTCCCTCCCTTTCTTCCACCTTCCTTCCTTCCTCCCTCCCTCTCTCTCTTCCTCCCTCCCTTCCTCCTTCCCTCTCTCCCTTCCTTTCTCCTTTCTTCTTTCCTCCCCCCTCTCTTTCTCCCCCTCCTCTCTCCCCCCCCTCACTGTGGTCTCTTCTTTTTCTCTTCCTGCTATTTCTCTTCATCTTTCTCTTTCAGACAAGGTCTTATGTATATCCCTGGCTGGCCTTTCTCTGATTCCCAAGTGCTGGGATTCAAGTCTCCCAGCTCAAATAACTTCTTTTAAGCCCATAGCTCTCTTGTCCTGGGCAACATTGAGTCCTAAAGCCTGGGGTCCTCCTCTGGGAAAGCCTTTCGGGATTATGGGCAGGTTTTATTTATTTATTTATTTATTTATTTATTTATTTATTAACTTTTTGCTCTTTGGGGCCCCACCACCCAGGTCCCAAATAAATATATGGAGAGAGATTCTTACTTATGAATGCCCAGCCTTAACTTGGTTTGTTTCTAGCCTGCTTTTTTTTAAATTATCCTGTCTACCTTTTGCTTCTGGACTTTTGTCTTTCTCTATTCTATATACCTTCCTTTACTTCTTGCTCTGTATCTGGCTGTGTAGCTGGGTGGCTGCCCCTAGTGTCCTCCTCTCCTCTCCTCTTCTCCTATTTATTCCCTCTGCCTGGCAGCCCTGCCTATCCCTTCTCCTGCCTTGCTATTGGCTGTTCAGCTCTTTATTAGACCAATCAGATGCTTTAGACAGGCAAAGTAACACAGCTTCACAGAGTTAAACAAATGCAACATAAAAGAATGCAGCATATCTTTGCATTATTAAACAGATGTTCCATAGCACAAACAAAATTAGCATATCTTATTCCATAACAAGGTCTCATCTCCATTCTCTTCTCCCCGGGGCTCTGATGATCCAGCTTAGCCATGCCTAAGGTACTCTTCCCAAGCGCTACTTGAACTCATTTGGTTGAATGTGTACGCTGCAGAGGGTCTACTTTCTACTTACCAGGCCAGCCTTCTATTTCTGGCACTGGATGGCTGCTGCTGTTGTTGCATGACAGCCAGAACATGCAGTGGTACTGGCTGTTTTTCTTCTGATCATTGGAAAATACTCATTTAGAGACATTTTGGTGGAGCTTTTGGTATGACTTTTGCTTCTGACTGTGCAGCTGTGTTTAGCTCTTGGTCATCAGAGGACAAGAATTCCAGTGTCTCCTGGAACGAAGACGGCCTTGTAGGCTCAAATATTTGAATGTGTGGTCTCCAGTTGGAGGACTGGTTAGATGTGGCCTTTCCAGGGTGGGTGTGCCATTGGGGAGAGGGTTTGAGGTTTCAAAAGCCCATTCCAGGATCTCATTCTCTCTCTGCCTGGCTTCAGATCAGGATGTAAGTTCTTAGCTACTGCTCAAGTGCCATGCTGCCTGCCCACCTGCCATGATGGTAACGGATTAACCCTCTGAAACTGTAAGCAAGGACCCGATTTAAATGCTTACTCTTTTAAACAGACTTGGCTATAGTGTTCCCTCACAGTAATGGTGCAGTAACCAAGGCAGGTCCACAGTAGCCATATTTGTAGCTAGATGAGTAGCAGCTAAACCCCAGTGGTAGGAAGGTACCATAATCAGCATCCCTGGAAAAGGACATGCGTTAGCACTGCCTATAGCACTAAGATGTCATGGTGTAGTGGGAGCAGAGGCAGGGTTGGCTTTTCTGGGGGAGCGTAGCCATGTGATTCCAGACAACCCCCTCAGCGGTGCTTAGTGCCTGTGAGGGCTGCAGAGACCCCACTGGTGAGGACTGTTGGTGTTCTTTTGCATAGCTTCCTCTTCTCGCAGGGAGAAGCCTGTGTTGGTTCTGTACTGATCCTGGCTTTGGATGCCAGGTATATTAATTATCCTTGTGGGCAGCCTGGGTTTCTGTGCTCTCTAGGGTTATGGCTACTCCCTTGATGCGCCATGGCATACTCCCCAGTTACTTTCATGCAAGTGCAGTTGTTTTTGTTGTGCTGGTCACCAAGGGCTTTTGGGCAGCCATCTTGCTGATGTGTAAGACATCTGTCCATATTTTATTTTCCTTGGTGCAAATTCAGATTTTTTTTTCTTGACCTGCCCCCATTGTCCAGCTGAGATCTGATATTCAAAGATAACATATCCAATTATTAACTAATTTGTATTTTTTTTCTCTCTTGCCTAGAATGTCCTCAGCAGGAGAGTGACATTGTCTTCTTGATTGATGGCTCTGGTAGCATCCACCCCAGAGACTTTCAGAAGATGAAGGAGTTTGTCTCAACCGTGATGGAGCAGTTCACAAAGTCTAAAACTTTGGTGAGGGGTGGTGGGTAGCCCTACTTAAGGCTGACAAATTCATGACAACTAGGCTGTTTGATTGATACAAATGTGGGATTTGGCGAATTGGCGATTGTGTTACTTCAGCATGCTCTTTTCTTCTGTGCTTGCTGAAATCGTAGCACTCCTTTGGTCCCTGTCAAGTAGGTGGCCCCGATTAATTGACAGGGGGATGAAACTCTCATGTCATTCTTGCTGAGCTCTCGTGTTGTCTAAAAGATGTGTACCAGCCCTTGTTGGGGGGCGGGAATGGGCATTTTCTCTGGTGTAATGCCAGGTGCTCTGTTCCTAGTTCTCTTTGATGCAGTATTCTGATGAATTCCGGCGTCATTTCACCTTCAATGATTTCAAGAAAAACCCTAACCCAAGATCACATGTGAACTCCGTAAGGCAGCTGACTGGAAAGACAAAAACCGCCTCAGGGATCCAAAAAGTAGTGTGAGTCCCTTCATCTTCGCTTTGGGTAGAAGGAGCAACGACACTTTTAGCAGGGCTGTGAAGGATTAGACAAACTGCTCAGATGGGGATGGGGTAAAGTCTTTCCTGGACGGCAAAACTATGAAGAATGTTCATGTAAACACAGGATACAGATAAAATTAATAGTTAAAAGAGGCAGCAAGATCATGTCTGGAAAGATGGGTTGAATCTATTTTGGGTGTGTGGCCCGGGGTGGAGTGCTTGCCTAATCAATGGAAGGCCCTGGGGACTGATCCTCAACACCACCAGAAAAAGAAAAACCAAACCCAAAGAACAAAAAGACAGAATAAAAGTAGGTTGAATTGAAGTCCTCACCAAATGCAACTTTATGTAGTCAGTGTGGAGCACTGAAAGTTTTTAGTGGGAGGGAGGCTTTCTTGTTTTTAAGACTGTTCTGCTTTTGGTATGTATACAGAGGGGGTGTGGGGCTGGCAGAGTGTAAGAAGATGAAGGGCAGGGGACATAGGCAGCGAATAAAGGGCTTGCAATGCAAACGTAAAGACCTGAGTTCCATCTCCAGAACTCATGGAGAAAAACCAGACTTGGTGGCAATTCATTTGTAATCCTAATGCCAGGGAGGCATAGACCGGAGGATCCCTGGAACTTGCTGGCTAGCCCAGCCTAATAAATAAGCCCCAGCTCAGTGAGAGAGGCTGGCTCAAAAAAAAAAAAAAAAAAAAAAAAAAAAAAAGCAGATAGCTGCTGAGGGCTGAGGGCTGAGGTGTTGACATCCTGTCCCCATGCCACATTCTCCCCCCCCCCCACATACACGTGTAGGAAAATGAGCTAGAAAGCTTGTGTCATATTCTGGGTAAGATTCAATGACAGACTTCACTTTTTTCCTCTATATTTAACAGTAACAAGGGGCCTGCTTGTGGTAGTGCATAACTGTAATTCAGGAGACAGAGGCAAGGGGATCACCAATCTGAGGCCCAGCCAGACTCTGTGTTCAAAACATAAAAACAAAACCAGTGGAACTCAGGGGGAGGCAGCCCCTCAGCTGTCTGCTGCTGTTTCATGCCGGATGCTAACGTCTCTGTCTCTTTGTGTTTCTGTCGTCTCTTCTCTACAGAAGAGAACTGTTTCAGAAAGCTAATGGGGCCCGAGAGAATGCTGTGAAGATCCTAGTTGTCATCACAGATGGAGAAAAATACGGAGATCCCTTGGACTATGAGGATGTCATCCCCGAGGCAGACAGAGCAGGGGTCATTCGCTATGTCATTGGGGTAGGAAATGTAGATATTGGGCCTGGCACTTCTGTGTAGATTTTCTACTGATGGGTACTGTCTTCAGTTTGCAGATATTGGTAAAATTAAAGGGAGCCAAGGGTCATTGTTAGGCCATACACACTGCTACCACATATCTATGCCACAATAATGCTGAATATATAACAAATGATCCCAAATTCAGTGGCTTAATATTTTTGGTTGTGGGCCTAGCCTTTAATGGCAGGGCCATCTCTCCAGCCCTCAGTTGTGTAATATGAGTCATCTTGTGATCTGGCCAGGTTGTTCTCCTGGTCTCAGCAAGACTCACTCACATCTGCCGTTAGCCAAGGCTGGTGGGCAGGTCTGCTGACCCTGCCTTTGCTCTCTCCACTTCTGAATGACAGTTGTGCTTGTCTGCTGGGCAGATGGCCTTGCTGGGAACAAGTTGGGTAATTTACCACTGTTCCCTGGGTCTCATTCTCCAGTGGCCTCACCTGGAGATACCCTTAGGATAAAGGCAGAGGAGAAGGGAAGTAGATGTTGTAGGTGCCTTTTACTAGTTTCTATTCGCATCACATTTGGTAGCAATCGTGGCCTAATACGGAGACAGTAAGCAGGATACTCAAGAGTGGGTGGGAGTGGCAAAATTTGGGAAAAAGCCTTGGGTACAGAAAAAAGGTGAAGAGTTAGGATTGCCAGTGTCAGCACACGTGCATGCTACCTTGTATTACATAGAAAAAGGCATACATTCACAGTATGGCGTGTAAGAAGGACCTTCATCTATAAAGGGATTCTCTTGGGGCTCGAAGGATGGCTCTGTAAGAGCACTTCTAGAGTACCAGTGCTCGGGTCATGTGGCTCCTAACAGCTTGTAACTCCAGCTTGCCTGAACATGGATCTACACAGACACACACACACACACACACACACAAACACACACACACACACACACACACAAACACACAGGGGGGGAGGTCAGTTCCTACCAGGAGGAATGGCATAACAAATAGGAGCGACTGACTGCACACCAATTGCTCCCTGTGCTGTGCAAATCTGCCTGTCCCCAGCAGCCCTGTATGAGTGAGCACCTTCTGGTGACGTTTTTATTTGACAGAAGTTTCAGAGTCTTTAGTCTAGGATTTTCTTTGCTACATGATTCTGCTACCATCAGAGAAGATACAATGTAGCTTCTGCTCCTTGGTGACAGGTGGGAAATGCCTTCACCGATAGAAAATCCCGTCAAGAGCTTGATACCATTGCGTCTAAGCCTGCTGATGATCACGTGTTTCAAGTGAACAACTTTGAAGCTCTGAAGACCATTCAGAACCAGCTTCAGGAAAAGATCTTTGCCATTGAGGGTGAGCCAGCCTGGTGCAGATCAGCTGCTCCCATGTAGCATCCCCACCCAGCCTCAGCTCTTCCCCCGAGTCACGTGGGTCTGACTCGGTCCCTTCCTTGAAAGAAGCAAAGCTAGATTTCTGTCTATAATGATCAAATCCAGGCTACAGGATGATTAATCTATAGCATGGCGGATATACATCCTATACAATAATTTCCCAAGAATTTGTATGCGCCATGAGCACTGGTTTACTGTCCTGTCTCCTCTCCCTAGAATAGTGTGTGGTACATGGAAAGTCTCTAATAAATATTTATCAAATACATTTACAAATTGGAGAATTTCTTTTCTTTTCTTTCTTTTTCTTTTTGAGGGATATGCTTTTGAGATAGAGTCTCACCTTGTAGCCCATGATGACCTTGAACTCTTGGTAATCCTCTTGCCTCAGCCTCTTTGAGTGCTGGGATTACATGCATGTATTATAACACCTGACCAAATTAGGGCATCTCATATTTAATCTGAGTGTGGAAAAGATGGGAGGTTAGATACCTAAGAACCCCATTCTTCCTTGAGAAAAGGAAGGTCACTGAAGGCCTGCCATCCCTGTGAGGTGCACATGTTCAACATGGGAGGTTCCCTTTGTCTGGCAATGATAGCCTTTGAGGTTTTGGGTATTTGGTCCACGTCTTTCTGCTTGCTTTAATGTAGAATGTTTTCTTCCTTGTAGGCACTCAGACAGGAAGTTCCAGCTCTTTTGAGCATGAGATGTCTCAAGAAGGCTTCAGTGCTACCATCACCTCTGTGAGTGGTCCTGTATTAAACTGGGGGTAAAGATGGGACACAAAAAGAGAGTTTGGGGGCTTTTCTCCAAGGCAGGTTCCCCTGGGGAGGCTTTTTGTTTTTGGAAAGGCATCATTGGTCCTTTGTTTCTCCCTTATCTAAATCCTGTTATGCTCCTTTCCCCAGAATGGTCCCTTGCTTGGCTCTGTGGGGAGCTTTGACTGGGCAGGGGGAGCCTTTCTGTACACATCAAAGGATAAAGTCACCTTCATCAACACAACCAGAGTGAATTCAGACATGAATGATGCTTACTTGGGTAAGTGAGGAGGGTAGGAGTAGTTCAAGGAAGGGGTCAGGATGAGATGTCACTCGGCTGATATGGATGCTATTGGATCTTTTGTTTGCCCTTAGGATAGTTGTAAACATTAAAAAAAAATCTAAAGTAAATTTTGGTTCATAATAGCTATCCCATAATAGCAGCATGGGGCTGCTCGATTGCCCTACTTAAGAATGGGCCTGCATTGAGGGAAGGAGGGCCAGGTCTGCAATGGAAAACACTTTGCCCATCAAAAGCATTCTTTTTAGGTTATGCTTCTGCGGTCATCTTGAGGAACCGAGTCCAAAGCTTGGTTTTAGGAGCACCTCGATACCAGCATACTGGGCTGGTGGTGATGTTCAGACAGAATTTCGGTGCCTGGGAGCCCCACGCTGATATCAAAGGCAGCCAGGTAAGTGTAGAGTGTTGAAGCATAAACATGCAGAGGTGCCCAGGAAGTGAGATTCTAGGGAGGACCAATGCCATGTGCGGCGATCTTTGCAGGCCTTTATGTTAGAAAGTCCCAGGTCAACTTTGCAACTGAGAATATCGTGCCTTTGGCTTTTCTTTCTTGTGTTGTGGTGCTGGGATTTGAACCTAGAGCCTCATGCTTGCCAGGCAAATGCTTTACTGAGCTGTATCTCCAGTCCTAGCCTGAGCATTTGCAGCAATGACTCCTAATACTTGACCTGCATAGAGTTTTCTGTGACTACCTGTTTTTCGAGCTGCCATCCAGTCAGGACATAACCAATACAGCTACATTAGGTATTAGAATACTGAAATAATTCCATGTCTGTTGATGGGCTAGGGAGATAACTGAGATGTGAATTTGATGCCCAGAACCCACATAAACAGCTGGGCATGGTGGCATGCTTGTGATCCCAGAACTGGGGAGGAAGAAACAGGGGCATCTCCTGGGGTTCCCTGTCCAGCCAGTACACCCTACTTAGTGAGCTCCAGGCCAGTGAGAGACTGTCTCACTAAACAAGGTAGACAGTTGCTGATGATCGAGTGTACCAGGTTTTTTCTTTGGGGCCACCAATCAGCTCCCAACCAGCAGAAACTTCTTATTAGTTTTGAATGCTCAGACTTTGCTTAACTCATTTCTGGTTAGCTCTTTTTAACGTAAATCAACCTGTTTCTTTTTAACCTACCTTTTGCCTCTGGGCTTTTTACTTTCCTTCTGTAGATCTTACTTTCATTGCTTCGTCTGTCTGTCCGTCCGTCCGTCGGGTGCCTGGCTTCTGGCCCCAGGTGTCTCCCTAGATCTCTCTTCCTTCTTCTCTCCTTTCTCCTCTGGAGCTTAGCTTTCTCCTCCTCTTTATTCCTCCTACACCCCCTTTCCCCAGTCAGCCCTGCCTATCTTTTCTCTGCCTAGCTACTGGCAGTTCAGCTCTTTCATAATTAAACAAACGTAGCACAAACATGTTAAAGAATCCTTACATCTTTGAACAAATGCAACATAAACAAATACAACACACCTTTATACAGTTAAAGTAATATTCTGCAGCATAAATAAATGTAACACATCTTTGCCTAGTTCAAATAATATTCCACAACAATTGACACCTGAGGTTGACCGCTGGCTTACACATGCACGCACGCACACATGCATGCATGCACGCCCAGGCACCTCCACATACATATACACTAAAATACCGAAGTAATTCCATATCTGTTGATAAATACCTGTTTCTCTATGATACCTTTAATGGACAAACGGACATCAAAAGTTCAGGGGGAAATGTAAGAGACCCAGAATAACTGAAACAATCTTGAAAAAGGAGACCACTTCACAATCTCAAATTTACAAGACTAGGTATGGTAGTACATGCAAAAAAAAAAAAAAAAAAAAAAAAAAAATCTTAGTATGCAAGAGGATGAGGCAGGAGGATTACAAGTATGAGGTCAGGTCATGCTACACAGTGAATTCTAGACTAAATTGGAATATATTGTTTGAAAAACAAAATAAAACAAGAGCAAAACCAACTGCACATTCCCAGTTTACAACTTGATAGACGTGAAAAGCAGGTTAGTAGTCACCAGTGGGTGAAGTGGGGTAGACGCTGGGAATGACCAACCAATGCAGAATTTCTTTCTGGGGACAATGTTACGCATTTATAGAGCCAATGGTTACAGAACATGAACATACTAAACACTACCGAGTTTTGTACTTTAAAACAGGATTTATGTTATGTAAATGTTCTCATTAAAAAGGTTATTTTGAAAAAATTCAATGTAACTCATTGTAACAACAATATAAGAGCTGTGTAGCCTTAGTAGATACAGAAATAGAACCTGGCTGTCTCAGACATCTTTTCACAATTGAAAGCTTCCAGTGAGTTGGGGGCTAAAGGGCATGTCCTCAACTTGAAAAGCATCATTTACAATGTCTCCAGCTGGCCTTGTGCTTCTAAATTGGAGAATATTTTCATCGAATTATAAACAATGTGACTACTACTCTTACTATTTCTTCTTCTTTTCAGTACACAAGTGTAATGTTGAGCTATTTATTGAATTAAAATCATATTCCTCATAGCAGTGCCCAGAGGCTTGCAACTTAATTTAGATCAAGTTGACAACCGAGGTTAGCCATCACATCATCTATTAATGCTTGGGGTCTAATATAAAAAGCAGCTCTGCTCCTATTAAGGTTCTGAAGTGTTCCTTTATGTTTTCTTCTAGCAATTTCATAGTTTAGGTATTACATTTAGGTCATCAGTACATTTAGAACCAAGCAGGATAGGGGTCTAGTTTCATCCTTCTGCACATAGATAGTACCCCAAGCAATGGCATTTATCAGATGGATGTTCTTTTTATGTATCTCCTTGGGGCCTTTGCTGAAAGTCTGTTACCTGTGAGAATGTAGATTTCTGGGTTGGTTCTGCATTCATCCCCCTGTCTTATTGTTATTTATATTCTGAAGCCTTACTGCTTTGATTATAACAGCCCTCCCCATGTATGTAGGCAGAAATTTCTGTCCCACCAGCAACTCCCAAATAAACAAATAAACACACTTACTTATAAATGCTTGGCCAATAGCTCAGGCGTGTTACTATCTCTTACAATATAGCCCATTTCTATTAATCTGTGTGCCGCCTCAATGTTTGTGGCTTTTACCTCTATCCCATTTTATGTGTCTGATTTGTTCTCCATCTGGCTGGCAACTCTCTTACTCTACCCATCCTCATCCCATCATTCTTAGTTTGACTTTCCCACCTAACTTTATCCTGTTCAGCTATTGGCCAGTCAGGTTGCTTATTAAACCAATCATAGTGACATATGTTCACAGTGTACAGAAGGATTATATGTGTATGTGTGTGTGTGTGTGTGTGTATGTACGTACGTTGGGATCTTGCTATTCAGCCTGGGTTGTCCTTTATGATGATCCTCTTGTCTCAGATTCCAAGCTCTGTGATTACAGGTGTGTGCCCCACTCCCAGGTATGGTAGACCTGTAGAATTGTAGTACCGTCATCTTTCTTCTTTTAGCTCAAGATTGTTTGGATGTTTGGGGCTTCTTTTGATTTCCTATGAATTTTAGAATTTAAAAATATTTTTATTAAAACTGCTATTTTATTTCAATGTAGATGAATTCTTCTAATTCATAAACATGGGATTTTTTTCATTTTTATGTTCCTTTCATCCTCTTCTCAATATTTTATATTTTTCATTCTAAAGAGCCTCTATTTTGTGGTTAAAATTATTCTTAGGTTTTAAAAAAATTGTTTTTTGAGATAATGTCAAGTGTTCCAGGTTGGCTTTAGTTTTCTATGTAGCTTAGAGTGTCCTTGAACTTCTCATCCTTTTGTCTCCCAAGTGCTGGGTTACAGGCGTACCTGCACCACTTATGTGATGCTGGGCTTTCTCTATGTTTTTGGTTTGTCATAGATTCTATAGTGTGTGTGAGTGTGTGTGTGAGTGTGAGTGTGTGTGAGTGTGTATGTGAGCATGTGTGTGAGTGTGTGAGCGTGTATGTGTGTGTGAGTGTGTGTGTGAGTGTGTGAGCGTGTATGTGTGTGTGAGTGTGTGTATGTGAGTGTGTGAGAGTGTGTGTGAGTATGTGTATGTGAGTGTGTGTGAGAGTGTGTGAGTGTGTGTGAGAGTGTGTATGTGTGAGTGTGTATGTGTGAGTGTGTGTGAGTGTGTGTGAGTGTGTGTGAGTGTGTATGTGTGAGTGTGTGAGAGTGTGTGTGTGAGAGTGTGTATGTGAGTGTGTGTATGTGAGTGTGTGTGAGAGTGTGTGAGTGTGTGTGAGAGTGTGTATGTGTGAGTGTGTGTGTATGTGTGAGTGTGTGTGAGTGTGTGTGTGTGTGTGAGAGTGTATGTGTGAGTGTGTGTGTATGTGTGAGTGTGTGTGAGTGTGTATATGTGAGTGTGTGTGTGAGTGTGTGTGAGAGTGTGTATGTGTGAGTGTGTGTATGTGTGAGTGTGTGTGAGTGTGTGTGAGTGTGTGTGTATGTGAGTGTGTGAGAGTGTGTGTATGTGAGTGTGTGTGTGAGAGTGTGTATGTGAGTGTGTGTATGTGTGAGTGTGTGAGAGTGTGTGTGTGAGTGTGTGTGAGTGTGTGTGAGAGTGTGTATGTGTGAGTGTGTGTATGTGTGTATGTGTGAGTGTGTGTGAGTGTGTGAGAGTGTGTGTGTGAGTGTGTGTGTATGTGTGAGTGTGTGTGAGTGTGTGAGAGTGTGTGTGAGAGTGTGTGAGTGTGTATGTGTGTATGTGTGAGTGTGTGCGTGTGTGAGAGTGTGTGTATGTGAGTGTGTGTGAGTGTGTATGTGTGAGTGTGTGAGAGTGTGTGTATGTGAGTGTGTGTGTGAGAGTGTATGTGAGTGTGTGTATGTGTGAGTGTGTGTGTGGGCAGAGACTGTGTTGTTGTGAGTCCTCTTACTTTTCCTTCCTGGGACTTCTCCTAGTGTAAAACCTGTAATACTTCCCTGTTCCTTTTCTTCTCTCCTCACTACTATGCTGAGAGTAACTGAAGGTGCTGTGTCTGCTACCCAGTCTGGTGCTCAGTGAACAAGTCTTTGCTGAATGAATTCATAAGCGGATAATACATGACTTTCTATAGATAAATGCGGCATGTTTACCTTGAGTATATTAAAAAAAGACATTTTCACAAAACTTTCTGGGTAGCAAGTTTTTCAGTACTAGGGACTGAATTACTCAGCACTTCAAGATACAGGACAAGTAGTTTACCCCTGAGCTAAACCTCCAGCCTTACAATTGTGATTTTAGTCCAATCAAATCAATTATGGCCAAATCAGACTTTATATTTGCCCCTACAAAGAATTGTAATCCAAAGAGTGCAGTTCTCCAATGCAACCTCTTCTTTGCTGTCTTAGTAATTTACATGAAATATCATTTGGGATAAATCTGAATCTACTGTCCACAGACTTTATAATATACTCCTCTAGCTAGCAGCATGTTCAATTGATTGGGCTGGGGGGTGTAGCTCAATGATAGACCAGTTACATAGCATGTTTGAACTCCTGGATTTCATACTTAACATCCCCCCCTCTCTTACTTTCCATCAAGCACTTGCATGTGCCTGCATTTTCTCAAAATGTATCATAAATTATGTTTTAATCTCTGTTCTGTTGCTGTGAAGAGACACTATGACCAAGGCATCTCTTACAAAAGAAAGCATTTAATTGGGAGCGTGCTTGCAATTTTAGAGGTTTAGTTCATTATCATCATGGTGGGTATGGTGGCGCTCACATCTCTGGAGCAGTAGTTGAAAGATACATCCTGATCTATTGGCTGAGAGAGAAAGAAAGAGACACTGGGCTTTTGAAAACCTCAGAGCTGGAGAGATGAGCCAGAGGTTAAGAGTACTGGCTGTTCTTCCAGAGGTTCAAGTCTCAGCAAGAACATGGTGGCTCATAACCATCTATAATGAGACTGGTGCTCTCTTCTGGTTATGCAGGCATCCATGCAGGCAGAACACTACATACATAATAAGTAAATAAATCTAAAAAGAAAAGGAAAAAGAAAAAAGAAAAAGAGAAAAGAAAACCTCAAAATCCTCCAGGTGGTGGTGCACACCTTTAATCCCAGCACTGGGGAGGCAGAGGCAGGTGGATCTCTGTAAGTTCAAGACCAACCTGGTCTACAAAACAAGTTCTAGGACAGCCAGGGCTGTTAATACAGAGAAACTCTGCCTCGAAAACAATAACAACAGAAAACCAAAAATAAAAGAACAGAAAATAAAGCTGGGTATTGGGGGGAAATGCCTTTAAACCCAGCACTCAGGAGACAGAGGCGGGTGGATCTCTATGAGTTCGAGGCCAGTCTGGTCTACAGAGTGAGTTCCAGGACAGGCTCCAAAGCAAAAAAACCAAAAAAAAAAAAAAAAAAAAAAAAAAAAAAAAGAAAAGAAAACCTCAAAGCCCACTCCCAGTGACACACTTCCTCTAACAAGGCCATAACTCCTAGTCCTTCTAATTCTACCAAAGAGTTCCATTCCCTGGTGACTAAGCATTCAGATATCCCAGCCTATGGAGATCATTCTTATCCAAATCACAACAAATCATATAGAAAATCATATGTTCTCCAAACAATTTTCCCCAGTAGTCATGGTCTCATTCTCCTCTCTCTTCCTTTCAGACAAGTCTTATGTTATCTCCCTATGCAGCCTTGAACTTCTGATCCTCCTGCTTTTGTCTTTTAGGTGCTGGTATGCATCACCATGTCTGGCTTCTTCACAGACAGGAAACTCCCAGACTCTTAGGTGGAAAGAGGCATGTGATCTGTACCCCATCTCTTTCAGATTGGCTCCTACTTCGGAGCCTCCCTCTGTTCCGTGGACATGGATGGTGATGGCAGTACCAACCTGATCCTCATTGGGTCCCCTCATTACTATGCGCAGACCCGAGGAGGCCAGGTGTCAGTGTGTCCCTTGCCTAGAGGGGTGAGTGATGGGCTGGGTGGGTCTGGGTATGAAGTGGAGGGTTGCCAGGGTTTTGGGTCTGTCACTGTTTCTGTTTAGCAGAGGACAAAGTGGCGGTGTGAAGCCACTCTCCAAGGTGAGCAGGGCCATCCCTGGGGTCGCTTTGGTGCAGCTCTGACCATGCTGGGAGATGTGAATGGGGACAAGCTGACAGACGTGGCCATCGGGGCCCCAGGAGAGCAGGAGAATCAGGGTGCTGTCTACATTTTTCATGGGGCATCAACAGTCAGCATCAGTGCCCTTCACAGCCAGGTGAGTCCCTGCCACTGACCTTGCACAGCGCTGGTTTGTGTGATGTGGACCCTCTGATTTAACTGCCAGATCAGTTTTCCTACACTCCCTCCAGAACCTTTAGGACGGTAGCACACCCTTCACAGTGGCCACAGGGAATCTCTCTGTGATGGTTGGTGGTACTTTGGGTATCCACACTGACTTTATGACTGAGGGCTGGGACTGCAGATGGCAAGCTCCAGGTGTGAGGATGTGAACTACTTGGCACTGGCTGTGGACCTGCAGTTAGGCCAGATGGAGAAATGTGTGACAATGCTAGCTCCTTCCTCTGGAATCCCTGTTCTGGCTGAGGGACCAAGAGTTCTGTTCTTCCCAGATCTGTCCCAGTTTTAGGATTGAAAATCCTATGTCATAGGAAACTCATACAGTTGAATACATTGCAGGATTCCACTGACCTAGGCTTTTTTTTTTTTTTTTTTTTTTTTTTAATGAGACTCCCAAGTTTGGCTTAGAATTCTGCTGTTGCTATAGTAAGTCTGTGTGTGTTGTGTGCATGTGTGATGCATGCTTGTGTGCACATGTGTGCATGTGTGTGTGCCTGTGTGAGTGCACCATGAAGGTGATGGTGGAGGTCAGAGACTGATGGTGAGACACTCTTTTCTGTAGTGAGTCTTTCTCTGTCCCACCAGCCAGCTCCCAAATCACCACATGGAGACTTCTTATTATGAAGGGTTCAGCCTATGGCTTAGGCTTGTTTCTAACTACCTCTTATAACTTAAATCAACCCATTTCTATTCATGTACATGTTGCCACATGGCTCATGGCTTTTTACCTCGTCTCCTACACATCATGTGTCCTCTCTGTCTCCTTGTGACTCTGCCTTCCTTCTTTTCAGTGTTCCTCTGCCCCCCAAATCCTGCCTAGCTATTGGCTGTTTAGCTTTTTATTAAACCAATCACAGTGACATACCTTTACACAGTATAAAGAAATATTCCACAACAATTTTCAATCACTTCTCCACCTTATTAACTCACCTTCTTTTTTTTTTTTTTTTTTTTTTTTTTTTTTTTTTTTGAGACAGGGTCTCACTATGTGGCCTTCACTGGCTTGATTGCATTATGCTGACCAGGCTAGCCTTGAATTCATAGAGATCCATCTGCTTCTGTCTCCAAAGTTGTGAGATTAAAGGTGTGCACTACCATGCCCAGGCCCCCCCCTTTTTTTTATATTTTTGATGTTTTTAAAATTAGATTTCATTTTCAAGATTTCTTATTTTTATTAATGTGTGCATATGGCTGTGTGAGTTTATGTGCGTCACGTGTCTGCGGGTGCCTTTGGGGGGTCAGAGGGCAGTGGATCCCTGGAGCTGGAGTCATAATCAGCTGTGAGCTGCCTGATGTGGGTGTCATGAATCAAGAATCTGCAAGAGCAGTAAGTGCTGAGCCATCTCTCCAGCCTCCGAATTAATTTCTTTGCTCTTTTCATGCACATGTACAATAGTACATTCTGAGCTCTCGTCTCCATCTTCCCTTGTCTCCTCCTAGCCCTCTTTCTTCCCTACATAGCCATTCTGACATGATTTTGTTTTGATTTCAGACTCACTAAGGTTAACCAGGGCCATCTGTGTGACCGTGGCTTTGGAGCCCTCCATTGGAGCCTGGTTGGGCTCACCAGGCTCAACTGATGGCAGTAACTCCTTAATTCTCAGACTCCATCAGTGAAATTCTTAGTAGAAATTAAGTGTCTCACTATGCAGCCCAGGCTGGGGATTCTCCTGCCTCAGGCTTCTGGGTGTGGAAGTTACAGTTGAGAGCTGCTGGGCTTGACCAATGACAGTTTTTAAATAACCAAACCCAGCATCTTTCTCTTGCACTGTGTCTTGAAATTCAGTAGCTCACACTGGTGATGGGTCATCCTGAATCCTGGCCGCAGAACTGGTCCCCTCCTCAGTGACTGTCACGGCTGCATGAGTTCCCTGTCTGTGGGATCCTTGCAGTTTTGGCCTGCCTCACCCATGCTGTGTTCTCTCCCAGTGAGCTCAGGCCATGTGATCTCCTGGACTCTGGTCTTTATTCTTTTCCAGTCTCACATTTTCCTTTATTTCTTTGAAAAAGTGTGTTGTGGTAAAAATGCTCAAATACGTGCCCTCCGCTCCTAACAGACTTGGAATATGTTCTCCCACACTTGTCCTGGTCCCACACTTGTCCTGGTCCCAGCTGCTTCTAGGCATTGGTCGGCAGTCTTCCATTTGCCTCCTCCCCAGGTCTCTGGAAACTGGCACCCTTTGCTTGTGTGATTTGATTATTTTAGACAACTCATGTAATGGAACTATTTGACCTTTTGTGTCTGACTTATTTCACGTAGAATAATATCTTCTAGGTTCACTCCTATTGGCACAAATGTCAGATTTTCCTTTTGTATAAGGGATAAATTGTAACCCACTGTAGATATATGTCATTGTCAATCGTGGTGCATGTGGGCCAGCTCTTGGCTTTTGTGAATAGTGTGGCAATGAATGTGGCTCTGCCAATATTGCTTCAAGATTCTTATGCTGACTCTTTTGAATGAAATTGAGACGTGGAATTTCTGGATCACGTGGCAGCCCTAAAAAAGCCTGGATTCTATATGTGAGAGAAAACATGCAGTTTGTCTCTCTGAGTTTGACTTTCTTTGCTTAGCAGGGTCATTTTCACTTACATTTATCACTGCAGATGACCTGGATCTCGCCATTTTGGTTAGCCTGGCTGGCCAGCAAGCCTGGGACCCATGTGCCTCCACCATGCAGGGCTGGGTTAGAGATTCAGGTTCTCATAGTTGTATAGCCTGTACTTTATCCACCAAGACCTCTCCTCAGCTTTGTTCTCTTGCATTTCCATTTATTACTTACTTATTTATTCGGAGACAAGGTCTCACTCCGTATCCAGATTGGCCTGGAGTTCATGGTCCTCCTGCCTGGTCCCCCAATGTTACAATTGCAGTTCTGTGTTTCCACACCCAGCCCTTTCTTTCTCTTTGATGCATTTTAAATTAAGTTGCATTATCAGTTCCCTTTCTCCACATGTGGGTTTTTTAACTAGAAATATTTGTTCACAGTTGTTTTAAGACTTACAGTAGGAAATACACAAGTGTTTATTCAAATGAGTCTTGGCAAATGTAACTCATATCCTTTTCAATATAGAGGCGCATGGCCGGATGCGGTGGAACACACCAGTAATGCCAGAGCATGGAGGCAGAGTTAGAGAAAGAAAGGCCACACTTAGACTCCTCTTGGGCCATCCAGCAAGTTCAAGGCTACTTGAGCCATATGTCCATATCTTGCTACAGCCCCTCCAAACCTCAGCCCCCTCAAAGAAGACCCTCAAACAATACAGAACATTCCCTCTCCAGGCAATCCCATCCCGCCTCCTACCCTGACCGCAGCTCTGATAATCTTCTCCCAATTGTGCCCATTCTCTGCTGAGACCCTTGCTGGCTGCACACTGCCAGCCCACTGTTGAGGGTGTGATTGTGCTAACTGCCAGTTCCTTCTTTCTCCTCTACTGCCCTACTTCTTGCCTTTAAATGAGAATTTTGGGGCTGGTGAGGGGGCTCAGCCTCAAAGGGACTTGCTGCCAAACCTGAGGACCTGAGTTTGCCCTTGGGGTGGGAAGGTAGGGGTGGGTATTCCCACAGGACAGAAAGAGAGCAGATTCTTGAAAGTTGTCCTCTGACCATTGTCAACATGAGCACTCTCTCAAGGAAGATGAATGTAATAAAAGAGATAATTTTGGTTAGATCAATATTCAATGTTTTCATTTTTCTGACCATATAAATAAGATCTGGATGGGTGAAACAACATTTTTTTTTTTTAAATTTTAATTTCATTCCCATAAAACCTTTAGCTTTCTTTAGGAATCTCATAATCCAGGAAAACATTGGACACTGTTTGGATAAATTGTAAGGCATCTGAATGCCTTGAAAAGCACAGGTGATAAAGAGGAGGCAACTTGAGTCACACTTTCCTGCTTTCTCTTTGCTTTCCTGTTCAGCGGATCACAGGTGCCAGCTTCGCCCCCAAACTCCAGTACTTCGGTCAGTCTCTGAGTGGGGGCAAGGACCTCACAATGGACGGCCTGACAGACCTGGCTGTGGGGGCCCAGGGGCACCTCCTGCTGCTCAGGTGAGAACCCTCTGACGGCACCAGCTCTTCCCCTTTGGAATTTCTCCTCTCTGTCATCTGGCGGATCCTGATGGCTCTTTGGTGTCCCTCTAGAGCCCAGCCCGTGCTAAGACTTGAGGCAACCATGGAATTCATTCCGAACATTCTAGCAAGGAGTGTGTTTGAGTGTCAAAATCAAGCATCAAGAAATAAGGATGCTGGGAATGTCCGAGTCTGCCTCCGTGTCCGCAAGAGCACCAGGGATCGGCTGCAAGGTGAGAGGTGCTGGGCAAACCTCCCGATTTCCATGACAGTGTCTGCCCAGTCTTCTAGCAGAAGAAAGTTCTGGCTGGTGCTGACCGTATTTTTAAGTCTGGCTAGAATGAGTGAGGAAGCCCAGCAAACCTTACTAGGGAAGTGACCAAGTAGCATTTGTGTGTTGTGATGGTTGTCCAGAGAGCCAAGACCCCATGTCTGTGGGCAAACTCGGCGACTTTTCTTCGTTTATGTCTTTCCCTCCCCCCGTTACTCTTTCTTTCTTTTTTAAAATGTGAGAGTATCTGTTCAAACTTTTGTATTTATACTGCATCTATTATGCATATAGATTGTTCTATTCTATATCCCCCCTTTTTACTTAACACAGTAAGATAATGAGATAATACTTTTTTTTTTTTCCAAAATGAAGTCGGACATAGCTGACCTTAGTGAAATGCCCAGGAAGATGATCTCTACCTCCCAAATGCTGGGACTACACGAGTACACTACCTCATTCAGTTTTATGTGGGTCCGGGACTGAACAAAGAGCTTTGTGTATGCCGGGCAAGCACTTTACAACCGAGCGGCATTCCAAACTTAGCATTTTTATTATTATCTACTCAAAATGTTTTTTAAATAACTATTTTAAACATACAAAACTAGACACCAATATATTGTATTCTTAGACAAGTCTTTACAGCTTTTCCAAACATGCTTCACTCAGTTATTTTTTGCTTTTCTTTGCTAAGGCATCTTAAAAACATTACCTTAAAGGAAGATTCATTATATTTTTAATAATGTGTATGTCTCTTTATGCGTGTGTCTCTGTGTAGGTATGTGCACGTACCCACAGAGTCCAGAAGGGGGCGCTGTATCCCTGGAGCTGCTACAGGCAGTTGTGAGCTGTCTTACAAGGGTGCTGGAGGCAAAGCTCCTGTCCTCTGGTAGAGCAGCTTGTGTGCTCATAACCACCATGCTACCTCTCCAGCCCCTTAAGTCTTTTTTTTTTTTTTTTTTGCTGTGTAGACGGTGATACACCTGTCTCTGCCTCCACCACACTGGGAATAAATGTGTGCACCACCACATCTGGCTTAAATAACTTTGACATTTTTAAAATATAAATTTGATTTATTTATTCACACATTTACATGTGAGGTTTGGTAGCAGACACCTTTACCCACTGAACCTTCTTGCCAGCACACCCCAAGAATGTTAAGAGAAGCATAAATTCATACCATTTTACTGCCACACCTTATGAATAACTTTGAAATAGGAACACTTTCTTATGAAGCCATAACATCATTGTCAACTTTAATCCACAATAAATACTTGCTAGTATAAAATAATTTATCAAAAATCAAAATTTTCTATCCCTGCAAACATGGGCTATTCTTGCTTAGAGCAGGACCTGAATAACACGTGCCTTTTGCTTTCTAGTGCTTGTTTCCATTTATTTACTTACCAACAACGTCACATATGTGTGCAATATGGTCTTTTCCCTTTACAATTTCATACATGCATACAATATATTTTGGTTAGGTCGCCTGCATCACTCTTACTTGCCCTTTGAACCCTTATTTTCCACCTAGTCCCTGCGCTATCAGTTTTTTTGTGTGTGACCCTCTGAATCTGATGCTTGTGTGAACATGAATGGGAAGTCATTTGTTGGACACTGGAGCAGCTTAGCAGTGGCTACACCACAGAGCCCCTCTCCTGTCTATAACAGAATGCTGTGTAGGTCTTGTGCAGGTAACTATTGCTGATGTGGGTGCATGATAGCAATGGTCCTAGCATAGCCAGAAGACTGTTTCATGGTACTCCCCCATCCCTTGGCTCTTACATTTTTTCTACTCCTTCTTTCTTGAAGTTTCTTTGGCCCTGGGGGAACGTAATATAGATGTCCAATCTAATTATTTTTTTAAATTTTAATTTTTTTATTTTTGTTTTTTATTTCTTATTTTACATATTGATCCCAGTTCCCTCTCCCTCCCTCCCATGCCTCCCGACCACCCTCCCATCCCATTCCCCCCTCCTCCCCACTCCACAGGGAGGGTGATGCTTTCCAGGAGGCAGTCTAAGGGACTTCTGTGGAACCAGGATGTATCCCTGGTGGATGAAAGGACTTTGGGAGCACATTCCCCATGGCGGGATACTCCCTTAACCTAGAGGCAGGAGGGAGGGCCTAGTCCCTACTCCAAATGACTTGACAGATTAATTTTAAATTTTAAAGTAATATTTTAATTAAATCTTTCAATAATTTCATATAATGTATTTTGACCATATTCACCCTTCTCTCCCAACTCCTCCCATTCACTCAACTTCATGGTCTATAAAAACAAAAAACAAAACGTATTGAGTCTAATTTGTGTTACTTAAAACTCTTGGGAAATGGGCCATCCCCTGGAGGTTGGTTGGCCTACTAGGGGTTGTACCCTCCAAGGAAACTGACTCTCCCTCTGCCATCAGTTGTCAGTAGTTCTTGAGCGAGGACTGGGACTTTCTGCTGTTTCCCACACCATGCTGGCATTCTGTCTTGCCTCAGCTTGTGCAGATCTTGTACATCTTGTCACAATCACTATGAATTCATTTATCAGCTGCCCGATTGTAACTGAAAAATACCATTTCCTCGCAGTCCAGATCCAATCACACTCTAAATCCATAGGAGTAAAATGGCATGGTACTGGCATAAAAACAGACACACTGTTCAGTGGGGTAGAACTGAGCAGATACATATAAACCCACATTTGCACAGTCATGTGATTTTTTTTTTTTTAATGAAGAGGCCAAGAATGCTCACTGGAGAAAAGATCGCACCTACAACAAGACAGATTGCTACATGTAGAAGAATGGAAATAGATCCTTACTTCTGACCCTGCACTAAATATCAAATGGATCAAGAACTTCAATATAAGGCCCACATAGTTTTTTTAATTAGTTAGAATATAATATTAACCCCTTAGCATTTTCATACATGCTTACTTTGGTTGCCTCCTCACCTCCCTGTTTCTTACCCCTCTGAACCCTCCCACCCTCCAGGATTGTCTCTGCACTTTCCTATCACATAGGTTCCATTACCCCCCTCGCTCCTCTCCCTTAACGCCTCCTTTCCCCTCTCATGGTGCCCTCTGTACTTTTCTGTCCTCTCCACACACTGCCTCCCATCAGAAACGAGTCCTGTTAGAAATCAGGAGCTAAGATCCACATTGGAGCGAGAACGTTTGGTAACTGTCATTCCAGTTTCATACGTTTTCAAACACGTTCATTTTCAAATGAGAGCGAGCTAGTTTGGGAGACTGAATTGATGAAGTTAAACATCGTTTTGTTGCCAATGGCTTGACTTCTTCCCCTTCCTCTTTCTTCAAAGGTAGGGCTATGCTTTGACAGGAGGCTAGCAATGGCTGACCGGAAGAGATATAGAAAGAGGAGAAAAGATGTTTTTCCAGCTTTATTCTTCCCGGTCCGGAGGTTAGAAGAGCCAGCTTGGCTAGAAATAGAAACTTTTTGGAAACTGGGGGAACAGTAGGGAGAAGGTATCATGACATCTACATAGAAATTCTTCTCATTTATTCCTAAGTTGTGAATGCTCTGATTAGACACCAGAGCCAAACCAGCAAATAACAAAGGCAAAGGACAAAGCAAACAAAAAACATGGAAAAAAACCATAAATATCTTTTTAATATCTTACAGAATAGCCACCACATCCCCCCCCCCAGACAGGGTTTCTCTGTGTTACAGCTCTGGCTGTCCTGGAACTCACTCTGTAGACCAGGCTGGCCTTGAACTCATAGAGATCCACCTGCCTCTGCCTCCCGAGTGTGCCACACTGTCTGGCATTGCATCTTATCTTTTTTCTTCTTTTTTTGTTCTGGAGCTGACCAAAGCCAGGGCCTTGCATTTGCCAGGCAAGCATGTTCTACCACTAGGTTAAATTCCCAGCCCTAGTCACCACTTTTGAGGATTTCCTTAGTGGGTAGTACCTCATTTCTTCTTCTCTTTAACCACTTGAGAGGCATTCTTACATTCTTTGAAAGTAATGAATTAAGGCACAGAGAGGCCAGATAATATGTGGATAATCACAGCTAGGAGCAGAGTTGTGCTCACAGACCTCTGTCTGTCTGGTTCCTCATCACTACTCCATTTCCTTTCAGGAGAGACCCAGAGCACTGTCACTTACGACCTGGCTTTAGACCCTGGCCGCACACATGTCCGAGCCATCTTTGATGAGACAAAGAACAAAACACGCAGGAACATCCAGGTCTTTGGACTGACACAGAAATGTGAAACCCTGAAGCTACTGTTACCGGTGAGCAGGCAGATGGCAATTCCTGGCTGAGGATGGGGTGGCGTGGGAAGCTGAAAAAGGCAGATTCCCAAATCCTTGCTATCTCTTAGGGCTGTGTGGAAGACTCACTGAGTCCCATCATCCTGCGCCTCAACTACACACTGGTAGGAGAGCCTCTGCATGCCTCTAGGGACCTCCGGCCAGTTCTGGCGTTAGATGCCCAGAGGTCCTTCATAGCATTGGTGAGTCCTACGTTGGGGGTCTTGCAGGAGTGGAGGACAGAACAGAAAAGAGTTTGTGGAAACATTTTTATTTTGTGTAATTCCATTTAAGCGTTTAAAAAATTGCTCCAATTAACATTTCCACTCCTTTCCTTTTGATCACATTCCCTTCCCAGTTTCCCTTTGAGAAGAATTGTGGCAATGACAGTATTTGCCAGGATGACCTCAGCATCACAATGAGTTCTACGGAGTGAGTTCCTTTCTGTCACTGCTTCCCTCAAACCCAAATCGCTGAGGGAGCCCAGGCTCCTTCGCAGATATTTGTGTGCCACAGGGCTCCTAGCACCTGCTCTGTTCACATTCCTACCTCTCCAAGTGCCTGCCGCCCGTCTTCATCGCACCGGACATGCTGCGGGGAAGCCCCTGATCCTACGTGCTCTTGCTTTCCCTCACAGCCTGGACACTTTGGTGGTGGGAGACCCACGGGACTTCAACGTGAGGGTGACTGTGAGAAATGATGGTGAAGACTCCTACAGGACCCAGGTTACCGTGTACTACCCATCTGGCTTGTCTTACCGGAAGGTGTCAGTGAGCCAGGTAGCTCGGTCCTCTTCAGTCTCTGGGCCCTGCTTTCCTCACCCCCACGGCTGGCAGTTGATAACACACATCTACCTGTTTTGGTTCTAGAACCGGCTTACCCAGAAGCCTTGGCGCGTGCAGCCTGAGCCCAGCTCTTCCACCGAAGAGCTCAGGGCTCTGAAGAGTACCACCTGGAACATAAACCACCCCATCTTTCCTGCTAACTCCGAGGTCAGGGCTCCGCCCCTGCTGTCCTTCTGTGTGCTGTTGCCTTAAGGAATTCTGCCTCTCCTCTTCTCACCCTCCTCCCTGTCCTAAGAAAGAAGCAGCCCCTTCCTACAAACTGGCTTTATTGAGGCACAAAACCATCCCATAGACCCACATAGACCCACCCATTGTGTACAATTCAGTGGCTTTTTAAGTATTCTTAGGTTCTCCATCCATCACTCGGATCGGTCTGAGCCCTTGCTAGTCGCCCCTGGGGTTCCTAATTGATCTTCCTGTGTGGATTCTCTTCTCCTGGATATCTCCATCCATTGACACATACAGGATGGTCCTCTGTGATCGTCGTCTTTCCACAAGCCTTGCATTTTCAAGGGCCACTTGCCTGTCAGTTCTTCTCTTTTTATTTCTGAAAAATGTTCTATCAGGTGGGCGGATCATGTTTGCTTTACCCCATTCAGTGGTTGGTGGACAATTGTGCTATTTTTTTTTCTTCACTATTTTAAAATCACTGTCTCTGTTCTTGAACTCTAGGTCACCCTTACTGTCACATTTGATGTGGACTCGGATGCTTCCCTTGGGAGCAAGCTGCTCCTCAAGGCCAATATGACCAGGTACCTGTTCCCGTCTTCTATGGTCATCCTTTGAGGCTCAGCCAGGATGAATCACTTTCTTCTCTCTAATGGTTCTCTGTTGTGGTGGCCTATTCATTAAACAAACACTGACTGGGTGCCCGCCCGTGTGCCAGGCATTGTGTCAAATGCTGGGGGACAGGCTGGTGGATAAGACACAGCTGTAGCTGCTGCCCTCACAGGCCTTCAGCAGCACAGATAGACAAGGTGATTACAGGGTAGAGGCAGGGAAGCATGCATCAGGCAAAAGCTGGAGCTTGGAGGTGTCTGGGCGTGCTTCGGGACAGCTTAGGCAGGGCCTGTGAGATGGCTTGGTGGGTGGAGCCTGATGACCTGTGCTCCTTTCCTGCAACCCATATAAAGCCGGAAGGGGAGAACCCATTCCACGAAGTTGTCCTCTACCCTGTAACGTGTGTGCTGTGGTGTGCACGAACCTCCCACCACTCATAACTGATAAAAATAAATAAGAGACACTGCTGAGTTAGCTCATCAGGTAAGGCTGCCAAAGCCTGATGACCCAAGTCCAGTCCCTGATTCCCAAGTGTGTGCTGTGGCATGTGTACACCCCAGCACACACGTGCACACACACACACAGTATACAAAATAAAAAAGGAGTAGCTTAAGCACATGATGCAGGATTCAGAGTGGTGTGAGTTAGTTATGGTTGTGGCACTGGATGACTGAGGGGAGCTGTTAGGGTTTGCAGTTTAGACTATAGGAGAAATAAGGTTATATTTACTTGAATATTAGAAAGATCACTCTTAAGGAGGAGGTAGGGAGGGAGCATCCAGAAGGCTACTGTAGCTGTTGGAGCAAGTAGGGCCTGGCAAAGCAGAGGTGGAGAGAACTGTGAGGTTAGGGATGCAGGGATACCAGACATGGGGGCAGGTTGGATGCCGCGAGTGAGGGAAGGGGAGATGGCTGCTGCTGAGAGCTGGCTGAGGACCTGCTTTCCTTTCAGTGAGAACAACATGTCCAGGACCCACAAAACAGAGTTTCATTTGGAGGTGCCGGTGAAGTATGCCGTCTACATGGTTGTCACCAGGTACTGCTCCACTCTACTCTCCCCTGTCAGGCTGCACGCGAGATTGTGTTCATGAGCTGCCTTGTGCTGTGTGTATGTAAACGTGCCTGTGTGGAGGAATGGTGTGTGTGCGTGTGTGCATGCATGTGTGCGTATGTGTGTGCACGCATGCGCCCATGCACACGGGCACCGAGGGCTGCATTGTCACCTCCCTATCTCCGTGCAAGTAGGACATCTTCATGTTCTGCCACCTGTTGGCTACTCCTTTTTTCTTTTAGTGATGAGAGTTCTACCAAATATTTCAATTTCACGGCTTCAAAGATGACTAGTCAGGTTATCCAGCATCAGTACCAGGTGAGAATCTGGGAAGCCTGGGTCCTGAGGGATGCTGGGAGGGAAACTGGAGAGAAAGGAAGGCAGGAAGCAGACGTAAGAAGCGTGAATACTGTGCTTCCTGTGGGTCAGGCACAGTTCTAAGTTTACTATACATTCCCCCAATGCGCGCGCGCGCGCACACACACACACATCACACACATGTGCGTGTGCACATGCACACACACTCATGCATTCACACACATACAAGCACACATTTGCACTCACACCATACATAGAGTGCTTACATAGAGATCCATATGCACACATATGTACTCACATGCATACATGCACACACACAGATGCACACACAGATGCACACACGCACACATGCACGCACACACACACACAGATACACGCACACATGCGTGCACGCACGCGCGCACACACACACACCCTCTATCAGGACCCTGAACACCCTTGCTGTCCCTTGTTTACAGATGGAGAAACTATGTCTAAACTCTCAAACTGGCAAGTGGCAGAGCTAGAATTTAGGATGAGCCAGTCTGTCTCAAGTGTATGTTCAGTGTTTGTTTGTTTACATCTCCCTGAAGAGCAGGCGCTTAGTTAGGCCTTAGTCAGTGGTCCTGGGCTGTAGGAAATGAAGAGCAAATTCTGAGAGCTAGCTGGCCCACAAGGCTAGAGCCCTCACCCCTACTTTCTGACGTAGTTCAACAACCTGGGCCAGAGAAGCGTCCCCATCAGTGTGATCTTCTGGGTCCCAGTCCAGCTGAACAAGGTGACCATATGGGACCATCCCCAAGTCATCTTCTCCCAGGTGAGTCCAGGTGGGTCCCCAAAGTTAAGGTCTTTCTGAAAATCTCTTTCTTGCTTTTTCTGACTCTTGCTTGGGTCCAGGCTGTGGCCCTGCTGGATGGGACCAGAGCCCTCATTTCTCTCTCTTCTTGGCATCTCTCTCTCCTCAGAACCTGTCAAGTGTCTGTCACACTGAGCAGAAACCCCCCTCTCACTCCCAGTTCCGGGACGAGCTTGAGAAGACCCCAGTGCTGGTAAGGACAAGGTGGGCCCCAGCTTCGAGGCCACATGCTCGCTCATCATAGTCTGCTCCAGTCTTAGTGATCTGTCTCTTTGGCCCTTCTCTTCTAGAACTGCTCTGTAGCAGTCTGTAAGAGAATCCAGTGTGACCTCCCGTCCTTCAACAGTCAGGAAATGTTCAATGTCACCCTCAAGGGGAAACTGTCATTTGACTGGTATATCAAGGTATGTTGTGTTTTGCGGCTCTCTGGGTGTAGCCATAACGGCCCAGAACCCAGGCCTGGTTCACACTCTGCTCTCCCCTCAGACTTCTCATGACCACCTCCTGCTTGTGACAATTGCCGAGATTACGTTTAACGACTCCATGTTTGCCCTGCTTCCAGGGCAGGGGATGTTTGTGAAGTCCCAGGTACCCCAGGGTGGGGTGGCGGTGTGGCTGTTGGAGGGAGGAGGGAGCTAGATGGTGGATCTCATCTCTGGGTTGGCGAGAGAAGTGGGTGGGAAGAGAAGCGAGTCCTGTGGCCGGTGTTGTGGATTATAGGGAGGAGTTCACCCTGGAGCCCAGTGAACTCCTCAGAAGTTTGGGGTGTGTCTTCCCTGCTGTGTCTCCTTTCTTTCCTTCCTCCCCTAGACGGAGACCAAAGTGGAGCCATATAAAGTTCACAACCCTGTACCACTCATTGTGGGCAGCTCTGTTGGGGGGCTGGTGCTCTTGGCTGTCATCACTGCTGGCTTGTACAAGGTACTCCTTAATCCACCTTCTTTCTGCACACCCCCCACCCCCAGCAAAGTCAACTATTTGACTTTGGCCAAGTCCGAGTCTCTCAATACCTCATTTTCTTCAGTTGTAAAACAATACTATTAACTCCCATTTTACAAAGAAAATGAACTTAATGCACGTAGGATAAGTAGGATGGCCCCTGGTTCACAAGGACTACGATATGAGGAGGGAGGAGGGGTTCTTCTTATAGTTTACATTCCTTTCCTAGACGCGGCACTGATGCTGTTTCTCCCCTGCCTGACTTTCCCCAGGCTCTTTCTATTCTCTGTCCTGTCGCTCTTTGTCCTGCTTGGCAATGCTGTCTGTGTCTCTTCTGTTCTGTCTGATCTTGACCTGCAGCCGTGGATTCTGTGGCCTTATCCTCTGTCTTTACCCTGACAGCTTGGCTTCTTCAAGCGGCAATACAAAGACATGATGAGTGAAGCTGCTCCCCAAGAAGCCCCACCTCAGTAATGGCCCTTGCTCCATGGAGTGATCTCTGCAACACCCAGGCCCTGAGGCTGATGGACAGACATGTCCTCTAGGAGGACTATTGCAGTGGCGTTCTGTACAGGAATGGCTTGGTGTGTGTGTGTGTGTGTGTGTGTGTGTGTGTGTGTGTGTGTGTGTGGAGAGAGAGAGAGAGAGAGAGAGAGAGAGAGAGAGAGAGAGAGAGAGAGAGAGAGAGATGTGTCTCAGACATTTCTTGGATGTGGGTAATGCCTTCTTGGAGGGAAAGGAATCTCTTGGGTTTTCTACTGTGTGAGGGCAGAAGCTTCTCTGGACAAGATGATGAGATCCTTGTGGGTAAGCATAGTGAAATTCTGTGGCTGCCCTCTTTGAAGGAAGTAATATTTACCTGCATGGATGAGCTGCAGACTTGCAAGAGTCCAGGTACTGAGAGACTGTAAGAGAAGCGGGCCATGGAACAGAGAATGGGTGACCCAACAAAAACGTCCAATGAAGAATGAGAAATCTCCCAGGGATTGGAGAGATGACTCAGTGATTGAGAGCACTTGCTCTTGCAGAGGACCTGGGCTCAATTCCCAACCCCCATATAGCAGCTCCCAACTATCTGTAAGTCCATTCCCAGGAAATCTGAGGAATCTTCCACTACCTAGTCATTTATTATTTTAATAGTAATTTAAATGCTTGAATTGGTTAACCTGTCTAAAATCAAAAGATGCTCAAGATTATATGGTGAGAGGCTAGGCATGTAGCTTGTGGCAGAGTACTCGCCTGGCATAAGGCTTCAAGCTCAGCTTGCAATACTGAAAACCAAGGCAAAGTTTAACCAACCTAAGAAGTGTTCTTTAGGGGTATTCCAGGCCATATGGGTAGAACCTACTTCAGAAATATTGTAGGAATCTATATACATACACATACACGCACGCACGCATGCATACACACACAGTTTTAAACAAACGGTAACATAATTTTTTTACTATTATACATCTTGTCTTTTTATTATGCTCAAATATGATATTAAATACTGTAGCTGCAGACTACTCTCCTGTGTGACTATATCATAATGTATTTAACTTGTCTCCTTTGGATATATTACTTCCAACTTTTTGCTGTTACAAACAATATTAAATTAATAAGTTGTACATATCTAATTTTATATATCAGAATAATTTTTTGATATATTACTAGTCATTTGATTTTTACTTAAAGTGATAAAAAATTTAGAGGAGCTGGGGGGTGGTGCATGCCTTTAATCTCAGCACTCAAGAGCAGAGGCAGGCAGATCTCTGTGAGTTTGAGGCCAGCCAGGTCTACAGAGTGAGTTCCAGGACAGCCAGGGCTACACAGAGAAGGCCTGTCTTGAAAAACAAAAACAAAAAATTAGAGAGGAAGATGAGCTTGTTGGTGCTCACTTACAATCCTTTCTGCTCAGAAGGCAGAAGCAACAAGATTGTGAGCTCAAGGCCAGCCTGGGTACAGAGGGAGTTCAAGGCCAGCCCAGGTAACTTATTAAGACAAAATAAATGGATAAAGAAGGGCTAGGGCTACTACTTTCTTAGCATGCACAAAGCGCTAGACTTGATCCTCAGCACCACTCTGCAAAGAATTTAAGGGAGAAAGGCATCCCACAAAATATCTACAGGTAGGGGGAATGGAAGGCAATGTCAATCAATGAGAATGCCTGGCGAAGCTCTGGATCTTGATTCTCTTGGAAGACAGAGAAAAGCACACACCTGCGTATCATCCGGGGGTAGAAGGAGCAGTGCATGTACCGTTTTCCACATGTTTATCAGTTGAGGATATAACACGTATGCACACACGCGTGTGCGAGTGCACACCCACACCCACACCCACACACAGTTTGTTGGGGGAGAGTGTTAATCCCTTGACTCTTGTGGCCTCGATGAATGCGAGTGGAGTAGAGACTGGTGGCCAGAGCCAGAGGTGCTGCCAGTTGGGAGCCTGATGGAAGAGCACAGCTCCTGGAAAGACCTGTGGAGATATGGCTGAGGCATTGCCAGCTTTGGCTAGCAAGAACACACACAGGAGAGTTAGATGGCTATTTCTAGATGGGTCTCCATCCTCCAGGGGAACCTCAGTTCCCATCTCTTGCACCTTTGTGAATGTGGTAGACTCATCCTTAGTCTTGAAAGCATCCCTGATTTTACACTTGTCTGGCTAAGTAAGTGGCTACCACTACCTATTTATTAATACTTAAATTTCATTTATGGAGAAACAGCTCCTGCCTCATCCTACCAAGCAGTTGCAATTGTAGATACAAACTGTCTTGTCCAACTTTTCATAATGTTCCTTGAGATACACGAAGAAAGTCATGGGCTGGGTACCTGTTCCACCTGTTCCTGGGGAGATGAAGGAAGTTGTGGTTAGTATATAGTTTGGGTGTGTCTTCCTTAGTTGACTTCCCAGGTACTAAGAGATGGAAGCAATCTTGCTATGGAATCCTGAAGTGGGGCCTTTGGGAGGTGATTAGGGTTAGATAAGGTCATTGAGGTAGAGTTGCCACAGTGGAATCCTGATGGCTTTATAGAAAAAGGGAGAGTTCTCCTGGCACAGATTGAGGTCTTTCAGCTCATTTATTACTGTCTCTCTAGACTTATTTTTATGTAATTGGACTTTCCTTTGGGTTGCCAGCTCCCAAATAATGACATGGAGACTTCTTATTAATTATGAAAGCTTGGTGCTAGCTTAGACTTGTTCCTAACTAGTTCTTATAACTTAAATTAACCAATTTATATTAATCTACATACTGCCACATGGCTCATTGCCTTTCTTCCATACTGTACTTCTGACTTGCTGTGTCAATCTAGTGAGTCCTATGTGGCTCAGATTCTTCCGAGTTCCTCTCTCCCTGAAGTCCCTCCTATCCTCTCTTGCCTAGCTATTGGCCATTCAGCTCTTTATTAAACCAATCAGAAGGTGCCTTGACAGAGACACATCTTCACACTGTACAAAAAGATTACTCCACAACACTCTTAATCCTGCTGCAGCCTGCCTACATGAGTCCCTCCTCCCACCACACCTCCATCCTTTGGAGATGCTGCCTCTTGGAGTGGACCCAGGGTCTCCCTAACTCTTTACCACTGTTCCTATCAGCCTTTCCTCCTAGCCCATCTCCATTTGTTTGTTCATCCATCAATCCACCACCACCACACTTACATAGAATCCAAACTGGGCAACAGCAACCAAAGGACAGAAGTTACAAACAACAGAGACCAGATATTTACACCAACAAAGACTTCAAACTCCTAACTCAGATGCCTAGATCTCTTGTGTCTTTCCCAATAAATCTCTTGTGTGAGGTTTGTAGTGTGGTGTGACTAGTTGGAATTTTCTTTGGCCCACCAACCAGCTACCAAATAAAGACACAGAGACTCATTATTAATTATGAATGCTCTGCCTTACCTTAGGCTTGTCTCACTGGCTCTTTTAATTTAATTTAACCGGTTTCTATTCATCTGTGTTTTTCCTCAGGGCTTTTTATCTTCCTTTCATTCTCTATGTCCTACTGTCCTTCTTCTGTGTCAGTCTGGTTGGCCCCTGGTGTCTCCATGTCATCTCTTATCTTTCTTCTCCTGAGCCTACATTCCTCTTCCTACTTACTTCCCTGCCCAAAAGTTCTACCTATCCCTTTACTGCCTAGCTATTGGTCTTTCAACATTTTATTAGACCAGTCAGGTGCCTTAGTTAGGCAAGGTAAAGCAGCAACACATCTTTGCATAGTTAAATATTCAACAACATATGACTTGTGGTATTTTTTTTTTTTTTTTGACTTCTGCCAGGATACCCTTCCCTTCAGAGAGGTAACACTTATATAGGGGAAACCTCTCCCCTCAGAGCTGTGACACTTCTGTTGGGGAAGCCTTTCCCTTCAGAGCTGTAACATGTGCATTGGGGATTTACCCTCAAAGCCGTAACACTTACAGACAATATGCAGAGTGTGTGAGATATTTTGCAGAACTCATCAAACAGTCTCTTCAGGATGAAGGGGGCTGTGCAGAAGAGGAGGTGGAAAGAGTATAAGAGCCAGAGGTGACAGATGGCTTCGAGGAAACTGTTCTTCAGACACAGAAGGACTGTGGCAGTACACACAGTTCAAGTCAAATGGGACCCCAGTGCTGACAGAGAGGAGAGTAGATTTCCCAGCCCAAACTGAAGCCATCTTCAGTTTAGACCTGCTTGCAAAAGCTTTTTTTTTTTTTTTTTTTTTTTTTATTGGTCTTTTGATTGTCTAATTTTGGTTTCTGTTATGGTTTGTTTGTTTTGTTTTTGTGTGTCTGTGTGTGTTTCTAGATTTTTGTTCTTGTGTTTAATTTGTTTTTAAAGAGTGAACAAAAGAGCTTGGAGTCTTGTGTGAGGTTTTACTTTTTTTGGCTTTTTTGGGGGGACTCACAATCCAGCCCCCATATAAATCATATATAGAGGCTTATTTTTAGTTATAAATGTCCAGCCTTAGATTGGCTTGTTTCTTGCCATCTTTTCTTAATTTATATTATCCCAACTACCTTTTGCTTCTGGGCTTTTTCCTTCTCTTACTTCTGTGTACCTTATGTACACTTTTACTCCATGGCTTCCAGTCAGCTGGGCGGCTGGCCCTGATGGCCTCCTCTCCATGTTCTATCTTTCTCCTCCTCTTCTGTGATCCTCCTTCTATTTATAGTCTCTGCCTGCCAGCCCCGCCTGTCCTAGCTCCTGCCTGGAGGTTGCCATTCACAGGCAAAGAATCACAGCTTCACGGAGTTAAACAAATGCAGCATAAGCAAAAGCAACACACCTTAAAATAATATTCCCCAATATTGGAGTTGGGTGGGTGAGGAGGTGGGGAAAATCAGGGAGGAGTTGGGGGAGGGAAGAGCGTGATACAAATATATTGTGTAATTTTTTCAGTAAGAAAGAGAATTAAAATTATTTAAAAAATAAGGAAATTTGCAACTTATTGATTAGTTAATAAGGGTTTTAGACACTACATCTAAGTTAAAAGAAGGTACTAAAAATAGGAAATTAATGTTTAACATTAAGAGATTATGTCAGAGCTAAAGACCTCTCACTTATCTCTGGCCTTAGGCCTCTTTTTTTTTTTTTTATTTCCAAGTAAATAAAATTCTGTATATCAAAGGAAATGAATGATTCCTACAGCTTGTTTTAGCACAAAATTTTGAAAGCAAAGAGATCCTGCGCCACATTTAAAATTCTCACCATAAAAGTGACTCTGCTGTTTAAGAGCACAATCTAATGACCTAACTCTGCAGAACAAGTTTCAGACCTTCTTAATTAAATGTTTCTTAGATCTGGAAGGATTAGAGATGTAAAATTTTAATTTATTTTTTGTCTGGGTACACCTTGATCTAATTTAATTTTCATGTCCTTTTCTGGTAATTGTTTCTATGTAAGCGTAATTTCTGTATCTGTCTTTTTTTGTTTTGACAGTATCTCTCTATGCAGCTCTGGTTGTTCTAGAACTCACTGTGTAGCTTGCCTCTGACTCACTCCCAAGTACTAGGATTAAAGGCATGTGCCACCATATCTGGCTATTATATGCCATTTTTTTATAATAAGAAAAAAATGAAAAAAGAACTGAATAACAAAATCTGTGGTCACTTTATTTATACAATATTTATTTATTTTGAATTAAAATATATTTTGCATATGAGCTAGGTGGTGGTGGCACACACCTTTAATCCCAGCACTTGGGAGGGAGAGGCAAGTGGATCTTTGTGAGTTTGAGGTCAGCCTGGTCTACAAGAGCTAGTTCCAGGACAGATAGGGCTACACAGAGAAACCCTGTCTTAAAAAAAAAAATAAAAAAATATTTTGCATGTGCACGTGGAATCTAGAGGTCAATGCCATGGTCTTTCTTGATCGCTTTCCACCTTACCTGTTGGGGTGGGGTCTATCCTTTGAACTCAGAGCCTACTGATTCAGCTTTTCTAGTGATCCAGCTCTCGGCCTCCAGAGCACTGGAGACAGGTGGACCAAGAGGCCCAACCAGTATATGTGTGGAGGTCTGAACTCTGGTCCCTCT